ATAAAGAAGGCTATATATTCTCTCGACAATAAACCTGTATGCCTAAAAGAGTCTTATCGCCAGTTACCAGCTACGGATTTATTTTCATCCCATTCCAAAAGTGCCTGAATGTCAGCAAGTACAATTGAACTTACTATAAGAGCTACCTGACAAAGGCTGAGCACATGTTAAAACTAGTTATTGAATTTATAGACATACAATAAGTGATATCGTCTGTGTACCAGTCAATGGCTATCAAATCGTGACGTACAGTTGATAATCTGAATCTTTCATGGATTTTCTTTCTTACAAGATAATTCTATTTGAATGTATAGGGACTAAGATCACAATATTCTCGAATCAATGTTCTTTGTTTCTTTACGTATTGTAGCAAGCCCTTCAGATGTCAAAAGCATTGGTGAGGTACTATTAAACTACAGTGAAATCTGACAATGTTATTGATAGTTGACAGGATAATAAGATTGTGTAGCTTATGTGTCAATAAAAAGACAAAGAACTGATTCTGTGAATGCTATAGAGTGAAAATCATATATTGATAACCATCTTGAGAACACTAATCTTATATTAAAGACTGGTTGTGAATATGAAATAAATCAAAGGATCATTAATATTTCTTTGAAAATTTATATCAACTAACATTGGCGCATTTCTCTCAATATTTCACATCAAAAAGACCCTAAGGTGGGACAGCCTTTTCGTTAGTGTGTCACACAACTCACATACAATATTTCAAAGCCTAACACTGACAGTAAGAATATTTTACTTTAAATTGAGTTCATGTTTATATGCATTCGGCTAACCAGACAATCTGGTTGTCATGGAAACACATGATGCCATCCATTTGATGAAGTCATTGGATTCCAGTATGAATTTACATTTATGCCTCCACTAACTGAAAACAAACAGAAAGTGTTCTGTAAAACTTCAAGTACACCTGTATCTAAAAAATATATATGCTTTCAAGTTGGCAGGTGGGTTTGAGAATTTAATGCCAGAAAATTTCATTTAGAACCAAAGGCGTGAACTCCTCAGCATGATTCCACATTGTCCACCACTTACAATTTCATTAGTGACATTACAATATTTATTCCTACTTCTATACTCAAAATGTTATGCCAACATGGAAAGTGGTATAAAGAAGGCTATATATTCTCTCGACAATAAACCTGTATGCCTAAAAGAGTCTTATCGCCAGTTACCAGCTACGGATTTATTTTCATCCCATTCCAAAAGTGCCTGAATGTCAGCAAGTACAATTGAACTTACTATAAGAGCTACCTGACAAAGGCTGAGCACATGTTAAAACTAGTTATTGAATTTATAGACATACAATAAGTGATATCGTCTGTGTACCAGTCAATGGCTATCAAATCGTGACGTACAGTTGATAATCTGAATCTTTCATGGATTTTCTTTCTTACAAGATAATTCTATTTGAATGTATAGGGACTAAGATCACAATATTCTCGAATCAATGTTCTTTGTTTCTTCATTATTGTAGCAAGCCCTTCAGATGTCAAATGATAGTTGACAGGATAATAAGATTGTGTAGCTTATGTGTCAATAAAAGACAAAAGAACTGATTCTGTGAATGCTATAGAGTGAAAATCATATATTGATAACCATCTTGAGAACACTAATCTTATATTAAAGACTGGTTGTGAATATGAAATAAATCAAAGGATCATTAATATTTCTTTCATAACTATCTACTAATTAGGGGTGGGTATTGCGATGAATTTCAAAGCATATATTGTGATATTGTGATATGTATTGCAATATATTGCAAGAAGTATTTTAAACAAAAAACTACTTATCATCGAGTTAATGCTTGATTTATAAAGCGTGAACACAACAAAATCACAATGCTTGATTATTGAACAAATGAAACAAGTAAATATCCGAAGATTTCTGAAGCGTTCCGACGCATTCAGTTTTCTGATTATGCAAGTCAAAATACCGGTTTTCGATCAGCGTATCGCAATACGTATCGTTTTCATGTCTGAACCGGTAAATACCGGTAAACTGGTTTATATTGCATTGCGCAGCCCTACTACAAATCTTAATGAATGAAATCAAACTTTTATCAAAATTTCTTTCATAACTAACTAATAATAATTATGAATCGTTCACTTGACATTCTGATTTAGACAAATTTTAGATCTTGTATAGTAAGTTTTTTTTATTACCCTTCAATGGATTAAATACTGTATACTGTGAATACTGTATGGGCGTTTATACATCTTGTTTCTATATCTCAAATCAATACAACGGCCCTTTACAGCACAGACACTTGTAATCAAGTCAAGCAATACCCTGATTCCAGTGTGACTATTCTGACCAATGTCAGTGTTCAGATTACACATAAAAGTTGCAGTATAAGTGCAACCTACTCACAACATTGCTACCATGTACTCCACACATTGCTCTTATATTAGGGTAAGGTAGGGTTCACGCATAATTCATGCACAGAGCAGGGCTTATTTGAAATCTATGATTTATTCACATTTAATGAATTCACTTACAATAGACACAAGTCGCTACGACACTGCATATTGGAAGTACGTGTTAACAAGTGATGGAGGGGTGAATTGGGATGAAAAGCCTGGGAAATATTGACAATGCTAGTGATGATGTACGATCTCAGCATTCGATGATGAAGAATATGATACCTCAAGGCGTCATCTTGAATACATTTTATATAACTATCAAATTTCCATGATTAAACACCAAGGCATTCTTCCTTATTCTCTTTAAGAATCAGTGTTTAATGATAAAGGTGAAAATTGGAAAGATTGCAGGGTATAAACACAACCGGGCCCTTAATCGAATACCTGGTGTTTAATTGAAATAACAACATTTAATTAAGTTCCCAGTGTTTAAAATTTAAAGAAATATGGTATAAAAAATAGTAATGTTAAGTAATGATTACTCGATGTAGCATCTGTAACATATGTACTACTTGACACTAATTACTAAACATGATCGATGAGTGAGTATGAATGAATATTGATTTATACTAGCTGCTTTCATCACTGTCTGAGTGGGAGATAACAAATATAAGAGTTAAAGTAAAAAATATCAGAATTTCATGCAAAATTCACTTCAGCTTCATTAAGTTGAGTCTGATCTATTCTAATACACCTGTATAAAAATAATCAATGTTATTGGTTTGATATATCTTTAGAAATCAATTGAATGATAAGTGGTTGATGTATGAAGCTCTTGCATCATCACTGATGGAGGGACTTACATGATATTTAAGCTGAAGGAGTCATCGTCACGGGTACTACAGATATGTACACCAGGTACATTTCTGCATTCTGATTTTGGCTAGATTGGGGTACACATCTGTAGTACCAGTGCTGACTGCAACCCCTTTCGCGGTATTTAATAGGAAATGTAAATGGCATTTTCTAATGTACATACAGAGTTTGGATACAATAAGCACAAGGCTGCTTAATGACTTCATCCTCAAATTAACCAATAATTCATTGTAACAAGATCAATACAATCAGAAAACCAAAGAGTTAATCGTGATTTCATCCACAGTGTTCCACCTCAGCATTAATTCCAAGTATTAATTTTCTGACAAAAATAATCACAAGTATAAATAAACCAAAATTTCTCTTTGCAGTGATATTGATCATTTAATAGCTTCCTGCTGTAGCCAAAAACTTGCCCCACACCAAGATATGTGGAACCAGAAGCACTGATACCTGCCAGGCTGTCAATAATTTATATGTGATCAATGAAGCTAGTTTTGTAGGCCAAACCATACAGCTAACTGATATTCCTGAGGGACCTGTAGGTTCGTCAAGTGTAACATTATATTTACAGTGTGAAACGAACCCTAATTCAACCTCCACCCACACAATATAGTCTCATTAGATACATGTTTTTCTTTGATCTTTTCTGTTTTGCTGTAGTATTATTTATCTGTTTCAGCAACTCGTTAACAATTTTCTATCATATATATATATGAAGTACATAAAGCCTATTTAATATGCTGCGGTTAAAACTGACATCTCCCTTGAGACTGGTTTGTAGGTATCATTTGTTTATTTGAATGATATACATACGAATACAGGGCAACATAATGATGTATATTTCTTCATTACTAACAAAATGGTTTCTAGTACATGTATTCAGTTCTGTTTCTATAGGTAGTTCAACAAATTTTTGAAAAGTACTCAAAACTACACAAAAAATAAATTGAATGTTTGCAAATGTCTCATAACTTTAATATTTTCAAATGCCTCTACTTTCAATTCACAATTATGTTGAGTTACTGTGCATGTGTATCGATGAAGACTTTGTGCATAAATCCATATATGCTCTCTGAAGATAAGATCAGAAGATTAAAATGTAAAATAGACAACATAAAACTTTTTGAATATATATTAAGGATAGTATTCGCAATACATGAATCTAGAATCTAGTTTGATCTTTAATATATAATTTATCAATATTTCACCCTAAAATAAGAGGCTGTAATACCAATGCAACATCACATATGTTTTAAGTTTAATCCCAGATCAAACAATTCAAAAGTGCCAAGCAAATGATAATTCCTAAACCACTGAAACCTCAAGAAATGTGTCTCAAACTCAATAAAAAAAAAGAGAGTTTTGTTTTATGCTGTAATTAAACTCCATCAAGTGACCAAACTTCTACAACCGAACACAGTCATCAAACATTAAAGATTTAAAATCCATATGAGACATTCATATCTAAATGGACTGACAACTTCAAGTGATATTGTAGAAACTTTACATAAATAGAAGGTATGTATACCATTATTTGTACATAAATGCACTAGCTGTGCATAAATTATAAAATGAAATATTCTTCCACAGATAAAAACAATGAACAGTAGATACCAAAGAAAAGTTTTCCTTTATCACTGCGTTTAACCAATGCCTGGATCTACTAAAACTTTTACTGAACTATAAAAACAAAATTTGGTTATATATGTCACATTTGTAAATGTCACTTACGGTCATGTTCGAGTTTCAGTGGTCCCGCATTCGGCTCATAGTATCGAGCTTGTGACATTTCAGATGAAACTTAAAACGTATCTAATTCCAACAGGCTGTTACTTGTTTTAGATGACACCCCACCATTTAGCTTCTTACTTTGGCCTGTACATAGTGACAGAGCACGCCGCCGGAAATGACCTTTTTGTTGTCATTATTGTCATGGTGTCAGGTCATATGCAAATTAGGAGGAACGGCGGAAAACGATTAATTGCCTCCAAGCAGTTTTTGCGCAATGAAATGATTTATCTTATTCTCCATAACTCCTAATTTCTTACTATTGTACTGAAGCATATTCACAAGTTATTGCCAGGAATACATTTACAAAGCATTGTTGATTTTGGTGCGCTTTAGAATAACCCGGAATCGGAAAGGCAATATTTCACGCATGCGTAAATGGAAATACTCCGGCGGTGGAGTAAACAAATGTGATTGCAATTATACACTTTGAGGTTTTTGCATAATATCAAACATTACATTCGGAACAAAATGGCAGACGCTGATCCCGTAACAATTGTAAGTACATACATTCATGGAGTGAGATGAAAATGTAACGTAATATTGCATGTGGACCGAAAAGGAGATAACTTATATGCACATGCATGTTACTTCGTTGTACCGTTAAATTACGGTTTTTTCATATTTTATGTTTTAGTTTCTAGACAAGTGTAAATTGATAATGACAGTAGAGTAAACGAAGGCTTGAAGAAATATCCAGTCATCCTTTTCGCAGGCATTTTGGCTAAACTAAAATGTAGTTTTTACAATCTGTTTTGTTGTAACGACGCATGTAAACACTAAACTTAGGTACGCTATCACCTGTTTTACAACCGTTGACTGTCGTAAAACAGATAGGTGTCTAATTGCCACATGATTTTGAGATTTTTCAAAGAATGTCATGGAGTTCTCAGCTGAAAATAACTGTACTGGTTTTGTTTAATTAATCACAGAAACCTAATGCTTCTGGGGAATTGCCAGGTTGACATCGTTTGTCATATCCAACTGGTCTAAGGCTAATTTCTGACAAGTATGGTTTGAATAAAATCTTAATTCTGGACAAAACATCTGGTCCTTCTAGATTTTCACATACCTTGGACTAACAGGCCAGTGGTTATCGCAGTTCTTTCTGTCTATATACATGATAAATGATGATAACATGTTTGAAAGTTTTGCTTTTCAATATGTTTTTATGGCTCTGTTATAAATATGAATATAGTCATAGTATGTCAGCATAAAGAACTTCATTATTGGTATATCCCTTCATTATTTTTCTGATGGTCAGCATTGTTCCTTTTCAGGCAAAAATAAATTATTATTTGAGAGAGAAATACTACAACCATGTTGAAAGCACAGCCACAGAAGGCTTGCAGAAATATGGGAATGATCCTGTTCTCAAATTCTTTGCAGCATTTGCAAAGATTCTGCAAGGTAAAGTATGTTTTCTAAACTTGTTAAATTCAGTTAAAATGTGATGACATCTTCGCAGCAAATTGTACATAAAGTATTTGCTATTTCAGTTTCTTTCTACTAAACAGTCAGAAGGCACAGGTTGCCTTGTCATCTCAGATGAGATATCTTGTTTTGAAGAGTTGTGTCCCTTGTGCACACTGAAAGCTATGATTGAGTCTTATGTCCACTGATATGGCATGATATAGTCTTATGTCCACTGATATGGCATGATATAGTCTTATGTCCACTGATATGGCATGATATAGTCTTATGTCCACTGATATGGCATGATATAGTCTTATGTCCACTGATATGGCATGATATAGTCTTATGTCCACTGATATGGCATGATATAGTCTTATGTCCACTGATATGGCATGATATAGTCTTATGTCCACTGATATGGCATGATATAGTCTTATGTCCACTGATGTGGCATGATATAGTCTTATGTCCACTGATATGATCTTATGTCCATGTCTTATGTCCATGATATGGCATGATATAGTCTTACAAGAGTCTATAATATGGCATGATATAGTCTTATGTCCAGTGATATGGCATGATATAGTTTTAATGTCCACTGATATGGCATGATATAGTCTTATGTCCACTGATATGGCATGATATAGTCTTATGTCCACTGATATGGCATGATATAGTCTTATGTCCACTGATGTGGCATGATATAGTCTTATGTCCACTGATATGGCATGATATAGTCTTATGTCCACTGATATAGACTAATGGCATGATATAGTCTTATATGTCCACTGATATACCATGATATAGTCTTATGTCCACTGATATGGCATGATATAGTCTTATGTCCACTGATATGGCATGATATACACCTCAATACTGATCAAAATAGTATTTGACCAAATTCACTAACTCTCCGCAGAGATGCCTTCATGTTCATATGGTATATTTATTACAACAGGAGAAAAGATCTGCTCTTATTTATTTGTCAACATATATTTCTCAAATATATTAATAAACATATTTTGAAAGAGTCATCTCCAAGGCATTCATGCACTTTGGGACAAAATTCATTAAAAATCATGCATGCTTTATATGAGTCTTCTACCATGTCTGCTCATATTTGCACGCTAGATTTTCATTCGTAGCTAAAAAATATTGATGTCAACTCTTTTCTGACTGTCCACTTTGTTAAGAGTGTCACTTGTACTTTGTTTGTCATGCTCTGCAGTTGTAGTGTACAGCCTGACATGTCTGTGCTGTACAGATTATGAAATTTCTGTGCTATATTTTGTATATGAAGTTCAATCATGTATAGATATAGTCTTTTAGATCCACTGAACTTGACATGATATGTCTTAGACCTGGGCCCGCTCTCAAAGCGTGCACTACGACAGTCATAAGTCTATGTTAAAGTATGGAAGTTACACTGTCGTAGCGCTACGATCGCTTTAAGGAACGGGGCCCAGAAGTATATATAATGGTTGTTATTTATAGGTTGCAAAACATTCTTGATGATTCCTGGTAAGAATGCAGATGCTTGCACCTTTTGCTTCTCATTTAAGAGGCGACTAATGAGATATTGTGACCAGGTTTGCTGACTTGGTTGATGCATGTCATGTCCCAATTCATGGACTAATGCTGATGATATCAATCCAGGGCTACAGATAAGGGGCATACAGGCATAATGTACGCCTCAAAATCAATTAAGTACGACATAATATAAGATTTCAAGCGTATCGTGTATGCACATAAATACCTTTGTACGTCTAACATTTAATTTCCGTGCGTATCGTGCAAATGGAAATCTATTTTGGATAAATACTTGTCAAGTTTCTTTTGCGAAACACGATTTGAAACATGAGGAAACCCCGACAGTAGGAATCCCTTGCGTTGCCATGCAACGATATGCGTCACTATTTTTCGATTGGCTAAAAACTACACTGTTCCTATTTATAGCCAGTCGGACCTGACATTTCGCGCATCACACGGTCGCTCAGTTATTTTGTCACGCGTCTTCAAATCCAAATACATGGTTGGAAATAGTGATCGATGAATCGTCCAGACAAACCACATCACCAACTCGCTCACACAAAAATATGTCAGTACTCCTTCAAAATTCTCAGTACACATCCACTTGCAATATGATGTGTAAGTACACTCACACCTCCAAAAGTTACCTGGAGCCCTGCAATCACTTGATTGACTGGATTGTCAATCGGTCGCAATCATGTAGCTTGAATATTGCTAAAATGGTGTTAAACAACAAGCAGCACAAAGTTAATCATAGTGAGGAGTTAGTGTTAGGTAATGTGTTGAATGCACATTGTACAGTCTGCAATGTTACTTGCAATATCATCCATGTTTTCTTGTTCCAGATCAGACAGGGGAAGGGATGAGAGAACTCGACATGTTGAAAGATAAAAGAGATGTGAACCTTTGTTCAACTATGGCGTTGATGTTTGCTCACAAACGGAGTCAGACAGTTGGTAGGTCATGTTAATCATTGTTAATGTGTTTGTACTTTGTTGAGTTAAAGTAATAACAAGAAATAGTATAACCTGGTTCATTATTTGGACTCTACTACCAGGAGATGACCCTAAAGAACATACAGTTTCACTTTGAGCTTCTGAAGGATTTTACAGATACTCCTCAAACATACTGGAAGTAGTTTTCAAGAGTACAGTGACTTTTCAAACCCTAATTTGATTTTTGTTTGTCCTGAAAACCTTCTCATTAACTAGTCATTAAAGGTCACATGCAACGTAAAACACAACTTTGCAGATTCTGATACCTTTTCGGTATGGACTTACCGAAACAAAGCGTCAAAAATGCAAATTCAACTTATAAAGTTGAAAAATAACGCGATGAAAAAAAATGCGCGAAATCGGAGTTCAAACGTTTCACTAATTTTCCCCCGACTTTTCTGGGGAAAACGGGTTTCAACAGCTGGGCTGCGCTTATAGCACGTGCGCAGTGAAGTAGGTTCGCGCAGCTTGGAAGCGGTTGTCAGGTGAATACTCGGTGAAGGCTTTGGTGTGAGCTATTTTTCTAATGTTTTGTTGATATCTCACAGGCGCGAGCTTTTTTATATGTTATGACAGTAAATTAACTGTTTATATAATTTCATTTGTCTATTTCACCGAGTCACTTTCTCAGTTCGATACTTAAAAGCAATGTCATTATTTAGCGTTGAGAGAATTTCCAACTGTGATATAGATATGTCGTTGTCACAGACTAAACTCAATGTCTTGTTTTATTGACACCTGTGTGTCTGCCTGCCTGTCTGCTAATGACAATATTCAATACACAGCTGCTATCACTGACCACATGCAATTTGAACTTAACACCAATCAGGCTATACACCATAAACAAAATGCATTGATTTATGGCCCGAGTTCGGTCTCTGTCACATTATGTAATTACACAGACAGTCAGGTGTGATACTTGAACACATGACATGTTATGATGTCTGTTGATTGTAAAATGTTATACACAAAAAATGAGCATGTATTTACAAAACCCAACATCTCTATATATACACACAATCAGCCGTGAGGGCATCTGCAAATGAACCAGCCGTTACACTTGAGTGCACACCCACCCGCTCTGACTGGGTTCGGTATCCCGGCTGCTTCGTTTCTTGGGAAGTAAACCGAAGTACACATATTGCAGTTTTGATTTGCGATTGTACGCTTATAATTTTGTTTATATGTTTTTTCATAACCAGCAATGTATATTATATGCCATGAATAAGTGATAATTGTGTTTTAATTATGTTTGATTTTTTGGTTGCATGTGACCTTTAACTAAACTCACTCCCTCACATGTACTAGTACTTATTATCTACATTTGAGTTACAGTTAATTCCACTCAATATCTGAATGTGACTTCATAATTTTATATATTTCATTGTAGATGTAACCAGATTTTATCACCTGGTTACAACAGTGATGACATAGATTGACAACGGGAAAATAGAAATGTGTAATAGTTCTTGTATACATTAAAGGACTCATGGTGTAAATGTGTATCATTTTGCTTTCAGATCGGGAATCAATACAAGAATTGGATGCCAAACTTAAAGAAGAGAGAAAGCAGTCAGGAGAAATGGTTAGTTTTAGGGAAAGTACATTTGATATGGTGAAATCAGTTACTTTTCAGGTATTCTGTGTACATAGGATTCATTGTCAGAATATGATCTCCAGCAAATGGAGCTTGCTGTAGGAGCCGACTGACTAGTGTTGGGAATTGGTTAAAATCTCATAATTGATGATTGGTTCATTACAACCGATCAATCATCGAAAATAATTGGTTAGCGTCATTTATGAGATTTGTTAATGCACATAAAAATAAGGAAAAAAACCATGTAGTTCTTTGGGGGCTTTTTGGAAAATTTCACATCTTTAAAGGCTGACTAGTATGTTAGGAACATAAATTTCAATCATGACTTGAAACGAGCTTGTAGTGCTTACAAAATGTAACAGACAAAACCAACCATGTGAAAAATATTGTTAATGAAAACAAGTGTTCCAAAATTGGTTGTGTTCGATTATGAGAAATTATGATCGATTGCTTGGTCGTTTAGTCACTACGACCAATCTTCGATTATTCAATTAATCGGACCACCACTACGACTGACATGAGTATTGGATGCCCACAATGTCGGACCTGGCTGATTGTGTGTAGTAGTATGGACCATTGGTATTCTGTCAGCATTGGTACACCTGGTCCGGGATCCATTATTCACATGCAGTTTTGATATTAGATAGAATATTGCTGAACGAAAGGATCAAACTAAACGTCCCCCACTCACCCTCTGATACTCAAGTTAGTAACTAATGCTGAAATTCTTTATTACTTCAGGGCTTGTACTATGCAGGATTGTTCCTGTTTCACACTGGCAAGTTTGACAAGGCCAGGGAGTACGTTGATCGGATGTTGAAGATGGACCCTTCTGCCAGAGAGGTATGGTCTAGTTTTGTTGTTGGGGATTTATCTAGACCTAGACTGGTGTTCAGCTCTAGATCTGTAGCAGTAACTTAGTTTGTTATCTCATGCATGTACAAAGATAATCAGTTACCATGAAACTATCATGATCTAAGTTCTGACAAGTTCCCTCCCTTTTTGTCCCCTGCCGCAACGCGGTAGGGGACTATGTATTCAGCGACGTCCTTACATACGTCCCGATTCTTGTTATCGCGATATCTCATAAACTGTTGTACCCAATGTCTTCAAATTTGGTGACATCCTTCATTGGGGGATTACCCAGACACCAGTCGATTTGGGTGACCTTGACCTTATCTTCAAGGTCACCACGACACTTTGACCACTTTTCAAACTGTTGTTAATGTGATATCTCATGAACTGTTGTACCCAATGTCTTCAAATTTGGTGACATCCTTCATTGGGGGATTACCCAGACACCAGTCGATTTGGGTGACCTTGACCTTATCTTCAAGGTCACCATGACACTTTGACCACTTTTCAAACTGTTGTTAATGTGATATCTCATGAACTGTTGTATCCAATATCTTCAAATTTGGTGACAGCCTACATTGTGGGATTACACTTTGACCTTATCTTCAAGGTCACTATGACACTTTGACCACTTTTCAAACTTATTTAAACGCGATATCTCATAAAACATTGCACCCAATATTTTCAGTTATGTCGACAGCCTACAGTGGGTGATTATGCAGACACCAGTCATTTCAGGCATCTTGTATGTGACAAAAAAATAAAAAGTAGTAAATATGGATATTCCATTCTTTAGCAGCAGGGGACATTGCCATATCAGTGGCAAACACTTGTTCTTTTTAAGATGCTCAACATTCTCAATTGCTTTTAAATTAACAGGGCCTGGTACTCAGGGGCTGGATTGAGATGTCTGGTGGCCGAGACCTGAAGAAGGCTATTAGATACTTTGAAGATGCAATGGAGTTAGTATTGATACTGCCTTGAAGTACTTTAATGCCTTGTCCTTGTCCTTGTCCTTGTTGTCCATAAGGCTATCTTAGCTGTGTGAATGTTGTAAGTCAGTGTTTAAATATTTGGGTGTTATGATCATCTTTGTGTTTAGATCACATTTGTTAAAACAGACATGGCCAGTCTGCAAATTTAGGCACTAATAGAAAGCCTATGTAATTTTCAGTGTCAGTCAGCTATAATTAATTATGTTCAATTCTACTGAAAATGATTCTTAGAACCAAGTTTCGGCTGGTAGTCTTAAAAGTCTTCAGCACAGACTGATGGACAACATCTAAAACCTATTGCTCAAGACTGGTTTTCAAGTGTCAAAAGTTGAAATATGTCTGTCTGAAATCATATCAAACACGGTGCTTGGAATCTGACTGTTTTGTTTTGGGCAACAGGAAACATGGCAACAGAGATATTGATGCCTTATTTGGCAAGTCCAGGTTCTTGGAGCTTCGCCGCAACTTCAGCGGCGCCCTGGAAGTGGTCAACCAGGTGGTGGTGGGCTTCTCTGGTTTCCTTCCTGCACTTATTGAGAAGATGAAGCTGCAGCTAGCTCTCCAGGACTGGGACCAGACTATCGAGACAGCGCAGAGGTGAGTGGGATAGGAGACGTCTTGTACAGGCAGATGTATGGCAGTTGAGAAAAGTTGGTGTTGAAAATTTGTTTTATAAATCTATCAGGCAATCGCTTATTCGCTCTCTGGGGCGTGGTGGTTAAAGTGTTTGCTCGCCATGCCAAAGGCCTGGGTTTGATTCCCCACATAGGTACAATGTGTGAAGCCCTTTTCTGGTGTCCCCTGTCTTGATGTTGCTGGAATATTGCTAAAACAGCGTAAAACCATATTCACTCACTCACTCATTACACATTTTTTGACATGTCAGTGTTGTTTTCATACTCTGTTTGTACCCGTGAAGGTCCGGGTTAGAATTGATCTCAGTAACCCATGCTTGTCGTAAGAGGCGAGTAACGGAATCGGGCTCGCTGACTGGGTTGACACATATCATCATATCCCAATTGCGTAGATCAATGTTCATGCTGTTGATTCCTTGATTGTCTGGTCCAGACTCGATTATTACAGACTGCCGCCATATAGCTGGAATATTGCTGAGTGTGGCATAAAACTAAACTCACTCACTGTATGTAAATCTTGGTTGACTATTTAATGTCACTATTATTGCAAAATCATAAGCTTGAAGAAAGTATTTCTAAATCCGGTTAATTTGGGTGTTCTAAATGTTAGATTCACATCATCCTAGCACCATCTGTTTTTAAGATTATGTCCCATTTAGTATTTTGGGTTGATCTTTTCTCTCAATTGTGTATTTATCATTGTCTGTTTATCATTCCTGTCATTGTTTGTTTATCATATTCATCATTCTGTGTTAATCCTTCTCTCTTGTTTATTACTGTTGGTTGATAGTTTTGTCTCCTTATCAACTTGTGTTTATCACTCAGTGTTTATCACTTTACCTGTATCACTGTGTGTTAATGGCTCTGTGTTTACCATCTTCCCCTGCACAGAGCCCTGGGGGTGGACATGCACTGTATAGAAGCCATGCGGTTCACTGGGCTTCAGTGGCTGTGTCGTGATGGAAACGCAGCAGAGGTAAATATGTATGCTGTGTCACATGGAACTGAAATATAAGAAGCAAATCAGGGATGATTTTCAGTGTTTAGTACAGTATGGGTAGTACCTGGTTATGTCTTTTCATGATTAATCAATACTTTGCTCTGTGTACTGGTATGTACTTTATACTGAACATGTTATATGTTGACCATGTGGAGGACATTTTACTGGACCAGGTTCTGACTTTCACATTAAGCATACTGCTTAAGTCCACCCCTGCAATATTGTTGCAGTCCAGAACCCAGCTTCAGGTTTCAGTGCACTCATATAAACTGAAAACTTTTGGTTACAGATCATTTCACTTTGCAGCAGCACATCTTTGGAACTCTCTCCCCACAGAACTCAGAACTATTTCTTCATGTGAACCTTTCAAGCACAAACTCAAAACCCACCTTTCCCTGATACCTGTTAGTGCTTTGAGCATGCAGTGCATGGAGTTTCCGCGCAATAAAAGCAGACATTATTATCATTATTATTAGATGTTGTAATCATGGTAATGGTACATGTAATCTCTCAGTACTTAATTCAAAAGATGTGCTTTTCATGTGCTTTTCTAGATGTGCTTGAATGTGTTTGCAGACCTATTTCGTCCCTTGTTATGACATTGCTTGTTATTACAAAAAATTGTTTTGAACAGATATACTCATATCAATCTCATTGTCTTCTGAATATGCCATATGCCCCGGTCATGTTGTTTCTACCCCTGATATTGTTTGAGACTTTTCTTTAAGACAAGGCTTCACCTGGCGTACCTTGACTCATCCTTGTGCATGTATGTAATCCTCTCCACTTGTTTTGTGTTTTAGGCAGCCAGTGTGATAGGTGACTTGATCACCAACATGGACAGATTTGAACCCCGCAATGCCTACCTGTACTGTAACATGGCCCAGGTCTTTGCCAGACTGGTAGGTACACCCAAGACCTGGGTGCCTTTAACAAATCGATCTATATTATATGAGTATCATGAATAATGTTAATGTATGGGCGTTACAATGACTAAATTTGAACCTACCTATACTGTAACATGGCCTAGAAGATTGCAACACTAGGTGGTCCTGAAAAGTAGAGAATGTGCCCAGTGTTCTGTACTTTAAGATGTAAAAGTTACATTTATAACAGGAACTTTATATAAAAATTTAGTTCTATAAATATTATTGTGCATCCATCTTGATGCAATATGAATAGATCCAAATTTTGTTCAAACTTCAGTGGTCATCTGTGTGACATTGACATTCAAACTTGGGAAGATCTAACTGAACCTGTCTAAATGTGTGTCATGATGCTGTTATTGCTGCTCACACTCTCAATCTCTGGTTCAGACCATGTTCATATATAGGTGGTATTATGACCTCATCCTACCGTGTATTCACTACTTGATGAACAGGATTCATATTCTGAACAGTCACTTGCCTCTGGTGACACGTACAAGTGCTGCAGCTACAGTGTTGGTCTTGACCACAGCCAAAAATACTCTCAGGTTTAACTGAAGGATAAATAAGTAAACCCCATAATTATTTCTGCCATGCTGTGATATAGCTGAACCCTAAGTGACATCAGACTGGTTCCCTGCCTGTTTCAGAGTGGGACCAAATGCCCTGGTTCTACAGCAGTGCTATACTCTGACTGAGCGGGCTGTGAGTATGGAGGGTAACAACTTCGGAGTATGTGAACGAGCTAGGGTATCAGTTGCTGCTGCAGGGCAAGGTGAAGGAAGCCATGAAGTGTTACAGGAACGCCATGAAGCTGGATGAGGGCGAGTGTTGCTGCTCTCACAGGTATGTCAGCTTCAGGAACTTGTAGAGCAGGGTTAGCCAAATGGTTAAAGCATTCGCTCGTCATGCCAAAAACACGGGTTTGATTCCCCAGATATGTGAAGCCCATTTCTGGTGTCCCCTGCCGTGATATTGCTTTAATAGTTCACCGAGACCAACTTTAAAGAACTTTGAGAATATGCAGTTATGATTTCCAGATAGCAAGTATCAAGTACAGGTAAACAATGTATATCTGTACCTGCAGGTATTATCCGGTGTCAGCTGATAGAGAACCAGGTGGAGGGAAGCCTCCCAACAGCTGGAGTTCCTCAATGAGATTCAACAGGCGATAGGACGATCACCAGTATGTATTAAGTAACGTTATGACAAGCAAACCTTAATAAAAACAATTATAAATTACAAATTATAAAGGATGTAAGAATTGTTCTTTTGTCACTCCTACCCTATCATCTGTTCATAGCCGTAACGCAGCATTTTATGTGCACATGACCTTCTTCATTTCTCAATCGCTACCAGTTACTGTCATTCATAATATATGTATATGCAGTACGCCCCCAAAACAGCTGGATCCAGTGCAGTGTAACTGGACCACTTACATTTGCCACACTACCCCACCTACAGTTGCCCTGCTACACCACCTACAGTTGCCACACTACCCCACCTACAGTTGCCGGACTACCCTTGCTATTCCACCTACAGTTGCCACACTACCCCACCTACAGTTGCCACACTACCCCACCTACAGTTGCCACACTACCCTTGCTATTCCACCTACAGTTGCCACACTACCCCACCTACAGTTGCCACACTACCCTTGCTATTCCACCTACAGTTGCCCACATTACCCTTGCTATTCCACCTACAGGTTGCCACACTGCCCAACCTACAGTTGCCACACTACCCTTTCTATTCCACCTACAGTTGCCACACTACCCCTTGCTATTCCACCTACAGTTGCCACACTACCCATCCTACAGTTGCACTACGACTACCTTGCTATTCCATCCTACAGTTGCCACATTACCGCTTTGCTATTCCACCTACAGTTGCCACATTTACCCTTTGCTATTCCACCTACAGTTGCCACACTACCCCACCCACAGTTTGCCACACTTCAGTCAGCTATAATTAATTATGCTCAATTCTACTGAAAATGATTCTTAGAACCAAGTTTCGGCTGGTAGTCTTAAAAGTCTTCAGCACAGACTGATGGACAACATCTAAAACCTATTGCTTAAGACTGTTTCAAGTGTAAAAAGTTGAAATATGTCTGTCTGAAATCATTTCAAACACGGTGCTTGGAATCTGACTGTTTTGTTTTGGGCAACAGGAAACATGGCAACAGAGATATTGATGCCTTATTTGGCAAGTCCAGGTTCTTGGAGCTTCGCCGCAACTTCAGCGGCGCCCTGGAAGTGGTCAACCAGGTGGTGGTGGGCTTCTCTGGTTTCCTCCCTGCTCTCATTGAGAAGATGAAGCTGCAGCTAGCTCTCCAGGACTGGGACCAGACTATCGAGACAGCGCAGAGGTGAGTGGGATAGGGGACGTCTTGTACAGGCAGATGTATGGCAGTTGAGAAAAGTTGGTGTTGAAAATTTGTTTTATAAATCTATCAGGCAATCGTTTATTCTTCTCTGGGGGCAGTGGTGGTTAAAGTGTTTGCTCGTCATGCCAAAGGCCTGGGTTCGATTCCCCACATAGGTACAATGTGTAAAGCCCATTTCTGGTGTCCCCTGTCGTGATGTTGCTGGAATATTGCTAAAAACAGCGTAAAACCATATTCACTCACTCACTCATTACACATTTTTTGACATGTCAGTGTTGTTTTCATACTCTGTTTGTACCCGTGAAGGTCCGGGTTAGAATTGATCTCAGTAACCCATGTTTGTCGTAAGAGGCGAGTAACGGAATCGGGCTCGCTGACTGGGTTGACACATGTCATCATATCCCAATTGCGTAGATCAATGTTCATGCTGTTGATTCCTAGATTGTCTGGTCCAGACTCGATTATTACAGACTGCCGCCATATAGCTGGAATATTGCTGAGTGTGGCATAAAACTAAACTCACTCACTGTATGTAAATCTTGGTTGACTATTTAATGTCACTATTATTGCAAAATCATAAGCTTGAAGAAAGTATTTCTAAATCCGGTTAATTTGGGTGTTCTAAATGTTAGATTCACATCATCCTAGCACCATCTGTTTTTAAGATTATGTCCCATTTAGTATTTTGGGTTGATCTTTTTCTTCAATTGTGTATTTATCATTGTCTGTTTATCATTCCTGTCATTGTTTGTTTATCATATTCATCATTGTGTGTTAATCCTTCTCTCTTGTTTATTACTGTTGGTTGATAGTTTTGTCTCCTTATCAACTTGTGTTTATCACTCAGTGTTTATCACTTTACCTGTATCACTGTGTGTTAATGGCTCTGTGTTTACCATCTTCCCCTGCACAGAGCCCTGGGGGTGGACATGCACTGTATAGAAGCCATGCGGTTCACTGGGCTTCAGTGGCTGTGTCGTGATGGAAACGCAGCAGAGGTAAATATATATGCTGTATCACATGGAACTGAAATGTGTCAGTGAATATAAGAAGCAAATCAGGGATGATTTTCAGTGTTTATTACAGTATGGGTAGTACCGGGGTATGTCTTTTCATGATTAATCAATAATCATGTCCTGGTATGTAATTTATACTGAACATGTTATATGTTGACCATGTGGAGGACATTTTACTGGACCAGGTTCTGACTTTCACATTACGCATACTGCTTAAGTACACCCCTGCAATATCGTTGCAGTCCAGAACCCAGCTTCAGCTTTAAGTGCACTCATACAAACTGAAAACTTTTGGTTACAGATCATTTCACTTTGCAGCAGCACATCTTTGGAACTCTCTCCCCACAGAACTCAGAACTATTTCTTCATGTGAACCTTTCAAGCACAAACTCAAAACTCACTTTTCCCTGATACCTGTTAGTGCTTTGAGCATGCAGTGCATGGAGTTTCCGCGCAATAAAAGCAGACATTATTATCATTATTATTAGGTGTTGTAATCATGGTAATGGTACATGTAATCTCTCAGTACTTAATTCAAAAGATGTGCTTTTCATGTGCTTTTTTAGATGTGCTTGAATGTGTTTGCAGACCTATTTCGTCCCTTGTTATGACATTGCTTGTTATTACAAAAATTGTTTTGAACAGACATACTCATATCAATCTCATTGTCTTCTGAATATGCCATATGTCCAGGACATGTTGTTTTTACCCCTGATAAATTTGAGACTTTTCTTTAAGACAAGGCTTCACCTGGCGTACCTTGACTCATCCTTGTGCATGTATGTAATCCTCTCCACTTGTTTCTGTGTTTTAGGCAGCCAGTGTGATAGGTGACTTGATCACCAACATGGACAGATTTGAACCCCGCAATGCCTACCTGTACTGTAACATGGCCCAGGTGTTTGCCAGACTGGTAGGTATACCCAAGACCTGGGCGCCTTTGAACAAATCGATCTTAATATGAGTATCATGAATAATGTTAAAGTATGGGCGTTACAATGACTAGATTTGAACCTACCTATACTGTAACATGGCCTAGAAGATTGCCACACTAGATGGTCCTGAAAAGTAGAGAATGTGCCCAGTGTTCTGTACTTTAAGATGTAAAAGTTACATTTATAACAGGAACTTTATGTAAAAATTTAGTTCTATAAATATTATTGTGCATCCCTCTTGATGCAATATGAATAGATCCAAATTTTGTTCAAATATCAGTGGTTATCTGTGTGACATTGACTTTTAAACTTGGGAAGATCTAATCTGAACCTGTCTAAATGTGTGTCATGATGCTGTTATTGCTGTTCACACTCTCAATCTCTGGTTCAGACCATGTTCATATATATGTGGTATTATGACCTCATCCTACCATGTATTCACTGCTTGATGAACAGATTCATATTCCGAACAGTCCCTTGCCTGTGGTGACACGACAAGTGCTGCAGCTTCAGTGTTGATCTTGACCACAGCCAAAAATACTCTCAGGTTTAACTGAAGGATAAATAAGTAAACCCCATAATTATTTCTGCCATGCTGTGATATAGCTGAACCCAAGTGACATCCGACTGGTTCCCTGCCTGTTTCAGAGTGGACGAAATGCCCTGGTTCTACAGCAGTGCTATACTCTGACCGAGAGGGCCGTGAGCATGGAGGGTAACAACTCAGAGTATGTCAACGAACTAGGGTATCAGTTGCTGCTGCAGGGCAAGGTGAAGGAAGCCATGAAGTGTTACAGGAACGCCATGAAGCTGGATGAGACGAGTGTTGCTGCTCTCACAGGTATGTCAGCTTCCTGGAACTTGTAGGGCTGTGGGTTAGCCAAATGGTTAAAGCATTCGCTTGTCATGCAGAAAACACAGGTTTGATTCCCCAGATATGTGAAGCCCATTTCTGGTGTCCCTTGCCGTGATATTGCTTTAATAGTTCACAGACCAACTTTAAAGAACTTTTGAGAATATGCAGTTATGATTTCCAGATAGCAAGTATCAAGTACAGGTAAACAATGTATATCTGTACCTGCAGGCATTATCCGGTGTCAGCTGATAGAGAACCAGGTGGAGGAAGCCTCCCAACAGCTGGAGTTCCTCAATGAGATTCAACAGACGATAGGACGATCACCAGTATGTATTTACTAACATTGTGACAAGCAAACTTAATAAAAACACAATTATAAATTGCAAATTATAAAGGAGGTAAGAATTGTTCCATTGTCACCCTACCCTATCATCTGTTCATACTAACGCAAAGCATATTGCGTGCACATGACCTGCATTTCTCATTCGCTTACCAATTACTGTCATTCATAATATATGTATATGCAGTACGCCCCCAAAACAGCTGGATCCAGTGCAGTGTAACTGGACCACTTACATTTGCCACACTACCCCACCTACAGTTGCGCTACCCACCTACAGTTGCCAACTACCCTTGCTATTCCACCTACAGTTGCCACACTACCCCAATTCCACCTACAGTTGCCACACTACCCCACCTACAGTTGCCACACTCTTGCCCTGCTATTCCACCTACAGTTGCCACACTGCCCACTACCTCACCTACAGTTGCCACACTACCTACTTTATTTGCACCTACAGTTGCCACACTACCCTTGCTATTCCACCTACAGTTGCCACACTACCCCACCTACAGTTGCCACACTTTGCCCGACACTTACACTACCCCACCTACAGTTGCCACACTACCCTTGCTATTCCACCTTCAGTTGCCACACTACCCACTACCTACAGTTTGCCACACTACCCCACCTACAGTTGCCACACTACCCTTGCTATTCCACCTACAGTTGCCACCTACAGTTGCCACCACCTACCATTGCCACACTTACCACACTACCCCACCCTACAGTTGCCACCCCACTACTCTTGTTGCCAACCCCCGCTTTACCACCTACCATCCCACTTTGCTATTCCACCTACAGTTGCCCACCAACAACCACAGTTGCCTCTTTGCATAAATTTGCACCCATGCGTGTTACCACTACAGTTGCCACACTACCCCCTACCCACCTACGGTTGCCACACTGCCCTACAGTTGCTACCACCCCCCTACAGTTGCCACACCTAAGAGGTACACTACCTTGCTATTCCACCACACTACCCCACCACAGTTGCCACACTTGCCACCTACAGTTGCCGCACTACCCTTGCTATTCACTACCCCACCTTGCTTACTCCACCTACAGTGCCACACTACCCTTTCTATTCCACCTACAGTTGCCACACACCCCACCTTCTGTGCACTCTGACCAAAAGCCTCTTGTATAAATACAATGTCATGCGTGTTACCCTAATTTCTATTGGCTTAATGTTGCCACTCACACATATTTACATACCCAGTACATACAACACATTTACAAGACCATCTTCACAAAAGTCAGTTCTGTCAAATCATAATTCCTGTGAAGCTTGTTCACTATATTTCAGGAATATCTGACATAAAATACCAGACACCAATATCATTACTTTATCTATATACATGTAAACACAAATGACTGGATTCATAAAGCCTGTCAGTATTCATACAGTTGAAATCTGCTTTTCCTAAAACTGGTTCTCGTTAGTTTTCCTAGAGTTATTATCCCCATCAACGCGTTTTGTGAGTGGGGTGGGGTAATGGACTCCGTCTGTCCATCGGTCTGTCCGTGCACATTCGTCTTTAAAACCGTTCACTATTTCTTCCCCAATCTTGGCACATAGATAGGCCTGGTATTGAACTGGTGCCTTTTGGTAGTTTTTGAATTTCTGAATAAAATACTTTTTGTGTTACCTTGGCAACAAGTTTGACTTTGACTGAATTTGGTGGTAGTGCTCCTTTTTGGAGCAGAACTTCAGAACTTCAAAACCTTTCAATACTCTCCTTCCACTGTGCTATATACACGCCAAAACATTTGACATAGTCATAACTTGTAGACATATGTATGCATGAAGAGTAATTTGCCACTGCAGGGGGATATTGATGACTTTGTCTTCTTGTATATAATTACAACCACTGTCACTTCAGATATTTCACAAATAAAGCCAATAAGCTCTGATAAAAAGTTCACATTTTTGCATTTAAACTGAACACACTTTCTTGTTCCAGGAATTGGCTTACTTGAGTTCAGTTCTGGCTAGGAAGAAGAACAAGGGCCCAGAGAAAGTGATGGAGCTTCTCAATGAGTGTATTGAGCTGCATTTTTCAGCCCTCAAGGTAGGATTCAAATAGCTCGACATCTTGTTCTCATTTGTTGCAGCTATAATGAAATCATGCATGGAATGCGGTGTTCCACTCAGGTGTACATTTGATGATATCTTCTCCATCTCACTGTCTTTGGTAATTGTAGGGATTGTGGAGAAGAGCTCATTTCCACAAAGGGTTGTTAATGTTAGTGTGAAGACTCGCATAACTCACATACTTTATCATAGGCTTTACATAGCTGCAGCATTATGGTTGTTTTGGGGAACAGGCCTTGAGCAGGTTTGTCTGGCTGATTGTTAGTCATATTACCTGGATGGTGTGGAACCTTACTCAGGATATCAGACGCTGGTTTGCATGAACCTTGATGTCAATTACATGTTTCAGTTTCAAGGAAAAGAACCAGTTGCACTCTTATGCTCGGAGCATTCAGAGCATTTCTAGCCATAATTGAAAGTCCCTGTGTTGTGAAAGCTGATATTTGATAAAATTATGATATACTATTCATGCTGGGGGTATTCTCTGTTATAACAAGGTTATTACTGATCATTGGGGCAGTCAGATATCCCTAAAGATCCAGGGGATCTTTCTCCACCCCATGCTGGGGTTAGTATGACTGATGCTCAGTCTTGAGTATGTTCGAACCCATGCTTGGGTAGTAGTATGTGCAATATAACCTCATGCTGGGGTTGTCAAGTACTGATGCTCAGTCTTGAGTATGTTCAAACCCATGCTTGGGTAGTAGTATGTGCAATATAACCTCATGCTGGGGTTAGTATGACTGATGCTCAGTCTTGAGTATGTTGAACCCATGCTTGGGTAGTAGTATGTGCAATATAACCTCATGCTGGGGTTGTCAAGGACTGATGCTCAATCTTGAGTATGTTGGAACCCATGCTTGGGTAGTAGTATGTGCAATATAACCTCATGCTGGGGTTGTCAAGGACTGATGCTCAGTCTTGAGTATGTTGGAACCCATGCTTGGTAGTAGTAGTATGTGCAATATAACCTCATGCTGGGGTTAGTATGACTGATGCTCAGTCTTGAGTATGTTCGAACCCATGCTTGGGTAGTAGTATGTGCAATATAACCTCATGCTGGGGTTAGTATGACTGATGCTCAGTCTTGAGTATGTTCGAACCCATGCTTGGGTAGTAGTATGTGCAATATAACCTCATGCTGGGGTTAGTATGACTGATGCTCAGTCTTGAGTATGTTCGAACCCATGCTTGGGTAGTAGTATGTGCAATATAACCTCATGCTGGGGTTAGTATGACTGATGCTCAGTCTTGAGTATGTTCGAACCCATGCTTGGGTAGTAGTATGTGCAATATAACCTCATGCTGGGGTTAGTATGACTGATGCTCAATCTTGAGTATGTTGAACCCATGCTTGGGTAGTAGTATGTGCAATATAACCTCATGCTGGGGTTGTGCAATATGACTGATGCTCAATCTTGAGTATGTTGGAACCCATGCTTGGGTAGTAGTATGTGCAATATAACCTCATGCTGGGGTTGTCATGACTGATGCTCAATCTTGAGTATGTTCGAACCCATGCTTGGGTAGTAGTATGTGCAATATAACCTCATGCTGGGGTTGTCAAGGACTGATGCTCAATCTTGAGTATGTTCGAACCCATGCTTGGGTAGTAGTATGTGCAATATAACCTCATGCTGGGGTTGTCAAGGACTGATGCTCAGTCTTGAGTATGTTGGAACCCATGCTTGGGTAGTAGTATGTGCAATATAACCTCATGCTGGGGTTGTCAAGGACTGATGCTCAATCTTGAGTATGTTGGAACCCATGCTTGGGTAGTAGTATGTGCAATATAACCTCATGCTGGGGTTAGTATGACTGATGATCAGTCTTGAGTATGTTGGAACCCATGCTTGGGTAGTAGTATGTGCAATATAACCTCATGCTGGGGTTGTCAAGGACTGATGCTCAGTCTTGAGTATGTTGGAACCCATGCTTGGGTAGTAGTATGTGCAATATAACCTCATGCTGGGGTTGTCAAGGACTGATGCTCAATCTTGAGTATGTTGGAACCCATGCTTGGGTAGTAGTATGTACAATATAACCTCATGCTGGGGTTGTCAAGGACTGATGCTCAGTCTTGAGTATGTTCAAACCCATGCTTGGGTAGTAGTATGTGCAATATAACCTCATGCTGGGGTTGTAAAGGACTGATGCTCAGTCTTGAGTATGTTCGAACCCATGCTTGGGTAGTAGTATGTGCAATATAACCCCATGCTGGGGTTGTCAAGGACTGATGCTCAGTCTTGAGTATGTTCGAACCCATGCTTGGGTAGTAGTATGTGCAATATAACCTCATGCTGGGGTTGTCAAGGACTGATGCTCAATCTTGAGTATGTTGGAACCCATGCTTGGGTAGTAGTATGTGCAATATAACCTCATGCTGGGGTTGTCAAGGACTGATGCTCAGTCTTGAGTATGTTTGAACCCATGCTTGGGTAGTAGTATGTGCAATATAACCTCATGCTGGGGTTGTCAAGGACTGATGCTCAGTCTTGAGTATGTTCGAACCCATGCTTGGGTAGTAGTATGTGCAATATAACCTCATGCTGGGGTTGTCAAGGACTGATGCTCAATCTTGAGTATGTTGGAACCCATGCTTGGGTAGTAGTATGTGCAATATAACCTCATGCTGGGGTTAGTATGACTGATGCTCAATCTTGAGTATGTTGGAACCCATGCTTGGGTAGTAGTATGTGCAATATAACCTCATGCTGGGGTTGTCAAGACTGATGCTCAGTCTTGAGTATGTTGGAACCCATGCTTGGGTAGTAGTATGTGCAATATAACCTCATGCTGGGGTTAGTATGACTGATGCTCAGTCTTGAGTATGTTCGAACCCATGCTTGGGTAGTAGTATGTGCAATATAACCTCATGCTGGGGTTAGTATGACTGATGCTCAGTCTTGAGTATGTTCGAACCCATGCTTGGGTAGTAGTATGTGCAATATAACCTCATGCTGGGGTTAGTATGACTGATGCTCAGTCTTGAGTATGTTGGAACCCATGCTTGGGTAGTGTATGTGCAAACCCTCATGCTGGGGTTGTCAACTGATGCTCATCTTGCTGCTTGGGTAGTAGTATGTGCAATATAACCTCATGCTGGGGTTGTCAAAGGACTGATGCTCAATCTTGAGTATGTTCGAACCCATGCTTGGGTAGTAGTATGTGCAATATAACCTCATGCTGGGGTTAGTATGACTGATGCTCAGTCTTGAGTATGTTGGAACCCATGCTTGGGTAGTAGTATGTGCAATATAACCTCATGCTGGGGTTAGTATGACTGATGCTCAATCTTGGTATGTTGGAACCCATGCTTGGGTAGTAGTATGTGCAATATAACCTCATGCTGGGGTTAGTATGACTGATGCTCAATCTTGAGTATGTTGGAACCCATGCTTGGGTAGTAGTATGTGCAATATAACCTCATGCTGGGGTTAGTATGACTGATGCTCAGTCTTGAGTATGTTCGAACCCATGCTTGGGTAGTAGTATGTGCAATATAACCTCATGCTGGGGTTAGTATGACTGATGCTCAGTCTTGAGTATGTTCAAACCCATGCTTGGGTAGTAGTATGTGCAATATAACCTCATGCTGGGGTTAGTATGACTGATGCTCAATCTTGAGTATGTTGGAACCCATGCTTGGGTAGTAGTATGTGCAATAATATACCTCATGCTGGGGTTAGTCATGGACTGATGCTCAGTCTTGAGTATGTTGGAACCCATGCTTGGGTAGTAGTATGTGCAATATAACCTCATGCTGGGGTTAGTATGACTGATGCTCAATCTTGAGTATGTTGGAACCCATGCTTGGGTAGTAGTATGTGCAATATAACCTCATGCTGGGGTTAGTATGACTGATGCTCAATCTTGAGTATGTTGGAACCCATGCTTGGGTAGTAGTATGTGCAATATAACCTCATGCTGGGGTTGTCAAGGACTGATGCTCAATCTTGAGTATGTTGGAACCCATGCTTGGGTAGTAGTATGTGCAATATAACCTCATGCTGGGGTTAGTATGACTGATGCTCAGTCTTGAGTATGTTGGAACCCATGCTTGGGTAGTAGTATGTGCAATATAACCTCATGCTGGGGTTAGTATGACTGATGCTCAGTCTTGAGTATGTTGGAACCCATGCTTGGGTAGTAGTATGTGCAATATAACCTCATGCTGGGGTTGTCAAGGACTGATGCTCAATCTTGAGTATGTTGGAACCCATGCTTGGGTAGTAGTATGTGCAATATAACCTCATGCTGGGGTTAGTATGACTGATGCTCAATCTTGAGTATGTTGGAACCCATGCTTGGGTAGTAGTATGTGCAATATAACCTCATGCTGGGGTTAGTATGACTGATGCTCAATCTTGAGTATGTTGGAACCCATGCTTGGGTAGTATGTGCAATATAACCTCATGCTGGGGTTAGTATGACTGATGCTCAGTCTTGAGTATGTTGGAACCCATGCTTGGGTAGTAGTATGTGCAATATAACCTCATGCTGGGGTTGTCAAGGACTGATGCTCAATCTTGAGTATGTTGGAACCCATGCTTGGGTAGTAGTATGTGCAATATAACCTCATGCTGGGGTTGTCAAGGACTGATGCTCAATCTTGAGTATGTTGGAACCCATGCTTGGGTAGTAGTATGTGCAATATAACCTCATGCTGGGGTTAGTATGACTGATGCTCAGTCTTGAGTATGTTGGAACCCATGCTTGGGTAGTAGTATGTGCAATATAACCTCATGCTGGGGTTAGTAAGGACTGATGCTCAATCTTGAGTATGTTGGAACCCATGCTTGGGTAGTAGTATGTGCAATATAACCTCATGCTGGGGTTAGTATGACTGATGCTCAGTCTTGAGTATGTTGGAACCCATGCTTGGGTAGTAGTATGTGCAATATAACCTCATGCTGGGGTTGTCATGACTGATGCTCAATCTTGAGTATGTTGGAACCCATGCTTGGGTAGTAGTATGTGCAATATAACCTCATGCTGGGGTTGTCATGACTGATGCTCAATCTTGAGTATGTTGGAACCCATGCTTGGGTAGTAGTATGTGCAATATAACCTCATGCTGGGGTTGTCAAGGACTGATGCTCAATCTTGAGTATGTTGGAACCCATGCTTGGGTAGTAGTATGTGCAATATAACCTCATGCTGGGGTTGTCAAGGACTGATGCTCAATCTTGAGTATGTTGGAACCCATGCTTGGGTAGTAGTATGTGCAATATAACCTCATGCTGGGGTTGTCAAGGACTGATGCTCAATCTTGAGTATGTTGGAACCCATGCTTGGGTAGTAGTATGTGCAATATAACCTCATGCTGGGGTTGTCAAGGACTGATGCTCAATCTTGAGTATGTTGAACCCATGCTTGGGTAGTAGTATGTGCAATATAACCTCATGCTGGGGTTGTCAAGGACTGATGCTCAATCTTGAGTATGTTGAAACCCATGCTTGGGTAGTAGTATGTGCAATATAACCTCATGCTGGGGTTGTCAAGGACTGATGCTCAATCTTGAGTATGTTCGAACCCATGCTTGGGTAGTAGTATGTGCAATATAACCTCATGCTGGGGTTGTCAAGGACTGATGCTCAATCTTGAGTATGTTCGAACCCATGCTTGGGTAGTAGTATGTACAATATAACCTCATGCTGGGGTTGTCAAGGACTGATGCTCAGTCTAAGCTTTCAGATCCAGGTTGATGCTCAACTTCAGTAGTTCGCACCCAATGCTTTGGTAAAGTGTGTACCAATTACACTTTGATGCTCAACCACAGTAATGAATAACCCAGCCTTACATTTTTGCATCTCCAAGGACTCACAATGTGTTATTTGCATCCATTTCCAACTTGTATGTGTGTATCATGCTGTGTTATGTCTGATAAATGCCTGTTACCTTTTATTGTTGTACTTTATATATCATGTGTGACAGTGTTTCTGCAGGGTCGGCCGCTAGGTGTACAGTACTACCTTCTGCTCAACCCAATGTATGTGTGTATCATGCTGTGTTATTGTTGTACTCTATATATCATGTGTGACGGTGTTCCTGCAGGGCTTGCAGCTACAGTCTACATTCTGCTCAACCCAATGTATGTGTGTATCATGCTGTGTTATTGTTGTACTCTATATATCATGTGTGACAGTGTTTCTGCAGGGCCGGCCGCTTGGTGTACAGTACTACATTCTGCTCAACCCAATGTATGTGTGTATCATGCTGTGTTATTGTTGTACTCTATATATCATGTGTGACGGTGTTTCTGCAGGGCCGGCCGCTTGGTGTACAGTACTACCTTCTGCTCAACCCAGACTTCCTCCTCGAGGTCATCAAGGACTACCTCCAGTATGCCCCACAAACGGTAGGAGCCATCCCAGTGTTGTTGAACCATGTGCCGTTATTTATATGTGTTTGCAGTATGCCCGTCAAACAGTTGAAAACCGTCGCCATATAGCTGGAATATTGCTGAGTGCGGCATAAAGCTAAACTCACTCACTCGGCCACTCACTCAAACTGTTGGAACTAGGATGCCACTGCATTAGATACATCATTTACGTAATACATTATCAATTTTCAAGTCTCAGAAACAGATGCAAATACATGTCTTCATATCTGCTTTTAACACCTGGAAAACTCATCTGTGTAAACCAATGAAGATAGGGTTAGAATTGGTTTTCAGCAGCCCATGCTTGTCGTAAGAGGTGACTATCGGGATCAGGTGGTCAGGCTCGCTGACTTGGTTGACACATGTCATCGTATCCCTATAGCTTAGATCGATGCTCATGCTGTTGATCTACAGCATATACTGCCATATAGCTGGAATATTGCTGAGTGTGGCGTTAAACAACAAACAAACAATTCTCATCTGTGTACAGAACTATACATGTTTCTTTACCATGGTAGTGTTATGGCTGAATTATACTGTTCCGACTATATTTCAGCCTGTGGCTACGGGTCAGCCCATCAATCCAGTGCTGCGGAGGTGTCACCAAGTGCTAGACCCCCTCACTCGTGCAATCCCAGGCCTCATGGAGGCGGTGTATCTCATTGGCAAGGTCAAGTTCCTCGCAGGTTTGCACTTTCTTCCTCTTGACCTTAGATGCCGTCTGATGTGTCGTCAGAGATTTTTCTGATCATGTATCTGAGGATAAGTTCCATATAATTTAGTGAACAGGGACACAAATACCACACTACTGATGATTACATTGTCAGTAGGTTATCTCAACATAAGGGTATTAAGAAAGATGTTATGTATATATGTTGGTGTCAATGTCGGTGCTGTTGCTGTTGCTGTTGCTGTTGCTGTAGCTGTAGCTGGTAATGTTGATATTTAATGTTAATGATGTTGTCTGTCATAGTGTTGATGATGTCGCTGTTGTTGTTCCAGGAGACATAGATGCAGCTCAGGCCACTCTTCAGCACTGCCTGGACCAGGATGCCACCTTCTCTGACGCCCACATCCTCATGGCTCAGGTACATAGTACTATTAGCTGAGAACAGCAGTACCAGTACCACATGCTCAGTGTGATTCTACATTATGCATCGACGTAGCAAGTACAATTACTAACCAGTCAGCTTGTCAGTATGCAGGATGGTGGGGTGGCCTAGTGGTTAAAGCTTTCACTCTTCACACTAATGACCCGGGTTTGATTCCCCACATGGGTTCAATGTGGGCAACATATGGTGTCCCGCAGTGATATTGCTGGAATATTGCTATATACACCAGAGATTAATTGGAATGTGATAAAGAATTTCTTCTTAAAAATGTTCAAAATCCAAGGGAGTCACTGGTTTGCTCTTGTGGCTTGTGAATCCAGGGACCCTTGAACTTTTAACTTAAGGAAAGGACAAGGACCTTTGACCTTCATGCTTAATTACAATCACTGGTAAAGGTGACATTTATTTGTTTTAATATCTAATGTTGGAAGTGGAGGCCTCGTGAAGATTCAAACTTGTCTTCAGCCAATGCTTGTCATATAAGGAACCTTACTGGGTCAAGTGATCAGGCTGGCTGATGGTTATGTAGATTGGGACATCGATCACTGACTGGACTGGATTGTCATTCTTAACTTTGATCATAGCCAATGTGTTAAGAATGGGCTTAAGAAGTTTGTAGGGCTACAAATGTTTCGAGAATAGCTTGCCTGTGTTATATAATAAGAATAATGCGGAGTGAGGAGTTGAACAACAAAGAGAAGGGGAGAATTGTAAATACTAGGCATGACACTGCATGTATCCTGTGTTAGAGTTTCTGTCAAGTTGTATTGCCACAGGTGAGGCATATAATTTTGTGGATTGCAGATCCATCTACACCAGAACAACTTCAAGCTGGCCAACCAGTCCCTGGAAGTGGGGCTCAGCTACAACTTTGAGGTTAGCCTTTCATTAATCATGTTGTTTTATCACTATACAGGTGAAAAATTATTAGTCATCATTGTCGTAATGTCCAAATGCTTGTTGAAATCAGTCTAGAATCATTTGTTTGATTTTATTCTCTTATGTAGGATTTCTTGAATGATTTCTGTTTTACTTTTTGGGAGTTATTTAATCTGTTTTTCTTCACATATAGTGATGTGTCATGATTATGGAAACATTGTGAGTGACACATGGCTGTTGACTCAAAATTTTGTTACTGACACATGCTCCTGGACACATGCTAATAGACCATACTGTAAATGGTAAATGACACATGGTTATAGACACACGGATATGGACATGTGCTTAATGACCATGTTGACACATGTCTGTTGACTCATTGTTACTGACACATGCTTATGGACACATGCTCTTATATACAATGTTGACACATAGTCAGGGCTCGACATTCACGCTATCCTATTGGCCCGGGTCTAGTAAAATGTTGACAAGACCAGTGCAACTTTGATAAGTGCTATCCCGACGGTCTAGTAGATATTTAAGGCTGTCAGTATAATTGTACAGGTTTTGAGCTTTCAAGAAAATAATGGATGAATGAATAAAAAAAACGAGTGAAAACGACAACATGTTAATGTATAAAATTCTACAAAGCAAGTGCAAATTTGAATTTGACATTAAGAGTCCCTTAGCAGGACCGGTAAGAATCTTTAACGACCAGTGATTTTTAAAAGTTACTGGTCCTTTTGTCTTGTTCAGGAATTTGAGTGAATGTCAAGCCCTGATAGTTAATGACAAATGTTCATGGACTAGTGTTGGGAATTGGTTGAAATCTCACAATTGATGATTGGTTTGATACCAACGATCAATCATCGAAAAAAATTGGTTAGCGTCATTTTTTAGATTTTCCTATTTAGGTTGTAGTTGCAGACAAGTATAAAGAAAAATATTTGGTTCTCTGTTGTTTTTTTGTTTTATTTAGAAACTGCACAAATTACATTTGCAAATTTCACATCCATTGGAAAATGATTCAGTTCCAGTGTAACATAAACTTCCCAGATACTTCAAGAAATATTCAGTCATGACTTTTCAGAAAGTGAAGTGAGTTTTCTAAGAATTAAACACGTTTTCCGGCCCTGATAACGTCCTAGATATGTTCCATCATCAAGTATTTCAAACTCTATTACAGCGGTTCCAAAATCGTTTGTGTTCGATTATGAGAAAATGTGATCGATTGCTTGGTCGTTTGGCCACTGCGACCAATCTTCAATTAATTATTTCAATTAATCGGAACACCACTATCATGGACACATGCTTATGGATCATGTTGACACATGATAATGGTTAATAATACATGCCTGGCTGCTGACACATTGCTATGGTGAAACCCATCTTGACTTACTGGAAACTTTCCGTGTGCTGTACTGTACGATGCTGCTGTGTGTCACCAGGTTCGAGACCACCCATTGTACAACCTGATCAAGGCTCGCATCCTCAAGAAGCAGGGTGACCATGCAGAAGCTGTCAAGACGCTGCAGATGGCCATGATTCTGCCTGGAGTCAAAACAACAGGTGGTCATTTTGGCTGATACTAATCAGAATAAAGTATAGAGATATTTATATAGATGTGGAGATTTATCTGTTATTACTGAAGGTATTTTCTATGTCAATGTCAAGGACTTACAGGGTCTTGGAGAAGCCCACTTGTTCAAGGGTTTTATTTGTCATGCAAAAGACCTGGGTTTGATTCCCATATGGGTACACTGTGTGAAACTTATTTGTGGCGTTCTGCCCTGTGACATTGCTGGAATACTGCCAAAGGCAATGTAAAACTGTACTTACACATATATGCACTCACTCACCTCCAGGGATTGCAGGAATGAGTGGTCAGAATGTTTGACTTGACTGATGGTGTGCCATCATGCATTGATGTTTGTGCTGTCGACCACTTGCTTTTCTGTTTAATCTACAGACCATCATGATGTAGCATGAGCGTTGTTGCAGGGTTGAACCACATTTGAAGAAATATTTTACCTAAAATTCATGGTTATCATGAGCTCCGTTACCCATAGAGCACTTAAAATTGCCGTATTGCATGTTTTCAAGCTCTGTAGATGTCATTGTGTTAGCATTGAAGAGATAAGCCAATTGTGTGAAGTTTAACCATGCTAACATGAATTTGGATGAGTCCTCACATTTCTGGCGTTTCAAGTGTGACATTTACTGCAGTTAAATGTCTTCCTTCGTTTTAAGCAATGAAGATTTTGTCTAGCTGTTTGTGAATCACATTGAAGAACCAAGCAGCCCTCGGTATTTCATATTGTTCCAATTCATGTTAACCATGGAGTCTTGTTCTGTTGCAGGCAAAAGTCAGTCAGCAAAGAAGGTCAAGGCTCAACAGATCAGCGTGAATGACAGAGTGTCTGTTTTCCTGGAGCTTGCTGAAGCTCACCGACTTCTAGGAGAACAGGTAAGCCTCATCCTTCTCTGTTTTACATGTGTGAAAGACTGTTAACTGAAATGCTGAGGACTCATCCTGCCCTTCTGTCTTTCTCATGTGTGCAAGACTTTTAGTGTTACAGTGCAGACTCATCTATTCTGATCCTGAAATCTTTAAAATCCCATACATAATTTTCGGAAGCAGCATGTTTAATCATTTGGGTTTGCATTAACAAGGGTTCACTCTAAAAGGAATGACCAGGAGTGATGTTTGTTCCATGATGAGAAACAATATTAGAATATAAATACACGCTCTTGTGTCATCCTCCATTCAGCATGAAGCAGCCAAGGTGATGCAGGACGCCATTAATGAGTTCCAAGGAACAGCAGAGGAAGTGAGGATCGCGATCGCTAATGCTGACCTGTCCTTGGCACGTGGGGACATAGAGCTGGCTCTGGGCATGCTCAGAAACATCACACCAGATCAGCCATACTTCGTGCAGGCCAGAGAGAAGATGGCCGACATCTATCTGAACCACAGAAAGGACAAGCGTCTGTATGCAAGCTGTTACAGGTTGGTTTACTAACTATCGGTCACTCCACTGGAACTTGGGTTGGAAAAGGTCCCAGGCTCTGTTCTGCTGGGTGCCACTGCCCAAACAACGTAGCTTTAAGACTTTACTAAATCTATGTTAAGCTGTGAGGGTTTGACCACCTTGGCGCTAAATCACTTTGGGTAACGGCACCCTTGACATTGGAGTTGACACAATTACCCTGATGGAACACTCTTCTTGTATCCTCTCAATGGATTGGGAAGAGTTTGGCCTGAACAGTTTGTTTTGGTTATTTGTTAGAATGTTACTATGGTTACTAATTATCCCCCACCACGCATTTAGTGCGACGCGGGGGATATAGTATTAGGCTCCGTCCGTACGTACGTCCATACATCCGTCCATATGTACATATTGAATATCTTATTAGAATATCTTACCTAGGACCATTGACCCAGTCAGATTCTTTTTTCATACTTGTTGTCACCTAGATATTCATCCATTCAGGATTTACTTCAAGAAACCTCCCAAAGGGCAGGTTTGGTGACCTTGACCTTCCGTATTTTCAACATCACAAGGGTTTTCAGCATGTTAGCCTGCATGTTAAGGCTGCATATAGGGGTGCAGGGCCCATTCAAGTTTAGTGACCTTCACATAATTTTCAAGGTCACAGCGACACTTTGAAGATTTCAGTATGTTAAGATTGTCAGCAAGATATCTCAAGAACTGTTCACTGGATTTTCTTCATAGAGACTTTCAAGACTTCTTTTGAATGTTTTTTTATAAGCAATTTCTCTATTACTATTTTTTTGCATATTTCATACACCATGACATTCATGTCAAGGTCAAAGTGGGTCTTGAAAATATTTGTGTGTTTGAACAGCTACAGAGCAAGATATCAAGAGAGGTTGACTGGTCATGTTTTGGTTGACATTTAACTTCATCTTAAACTATGACCTTCACTTTCATTACTCTTTAAGTTTGGTTTGATATTTACGGCGGGGGATTATGTCACCTTAGTGACAACTGCTTGTTCTCTGTGTGATGTGTTCTGCAACAAACCAGTTGATTAGTTTGTCTGTTCTTGTTGAATTCACATGAGTTAACCAGTGCCACTGTTTCTAGTTGATAACATTGTCTTGTCCAGTTGAATTCACATTAGTTGACCAATGCCACTGTTTCTAGTTGATAATTGTGTCCAATCCCATTGAACTGACAAGTTGACCAATTCCACTGTATCTAGCTGACAAAGTTGTCCAGCGCTGTTGAACTGACATGAGTTGACCAATGCCACTGTTTCAGGGAACTGGTGGACAAGTACCCAAGTCCACACACTTGCTTGTTGCTAGGAGACGCCTACATGAGTATACAGGAGGTGAGTCCAACGGGTTCGAATCCTAGATGGGACTAAACCCAACAGGTACAAGAATCTGTACTTTACTGAGAAAGTGTAATCCCAAATATAACATGTGTTTCATGAAATATACTTTGATATGCCACTCTATGTTTACTGAGGGGGCAGTGTTTAGCCAAGTGGTTGAATCATCCACTCATCCTACCCCAAACGTGAGGTGATATTGATTCTGATGGCTGCCCTTACTCATCCCTGAAATGGATACAAACTGTATGTTTTCAAAAGCCCCTGATGTTAACATTTTTTATTATTGAGGATATTGCTGAGGGCTGCATAAAGCCATTCGTACTATCAATCTCCTCCTGGGGAAATCTTGAGATAACATCTGCAGGTACCAACAGCTGGGTGGTCTAGTCACAGTACTTTGTTTTCACTGAACCCAGCCCTGGGTTTTGCTGATGTTAACCGTGGATTGTGGGTTCTTTTAAGTGCCCAGGGTTTTTCTGATACCATCAAAACTATTGTTGACATTGTATTCATTTGTTGTAGCCTGAGAAAGCAATAGAAGTGTATGAGTCTGCCCTGAAGAAAAACCCTCGCGATGCTGCCCTGGCTAGCAAGATTGGTCAGGCCCTGGTCAAGACACACAACTATGGCAAGGTAATGACCAGTGTTTCCTTAATGTCTGGGGCCAGTGGGTGAGCATTGGTAATTCCTTCCTTTAATGACCTGTGAAGATCCGGGGTAGAATAGGTCTTCAGCAACCCATGCTTGCCACAAAAGGCGACTATGCTTGTCGTAAGAGGCGACTAACGGGATTGGGTGGTCAGGTTCGCTGACTTGGTTGACACATGTCATCGGTTCCCAGTTGCGCAAATCGATGCTTATGCTGTTGATCACTGGATTGTCTGGTCCAGATTCGATTATTTACAGACCGCCACCATATAGCTGGAATACTGCTGAGTGCGGCGTAAAACTAAACTCACTCACTCACTCCTTCCTTTAATCAAGCCCAAAATTAGTACAATGTGTGAAGCCCATTTCTGGTGTCCCCTGCCCTGATATTGCTGGAATATTGCTAAAAGCTGTGTAAAACCCTAACTACAATTTGCAGTGGATAGAGCAAAGACTAAGAGTTCGTTCAGGGCTTGTAACAGAGTGTCACTCCATGTTTCTCTAACAGAGCACCTCTGTTTCTACAGTTTGCTCACTCCATGTTTCTCTAACAGAGCTCACTCCATGTTTCTCTGCCAGAGCTATCATGACTCTGTACAGAGCTCACTCCATGATTCTAACAGACTTGACTCCACCTTTGACTACAGAGCTCACTCCATGGATTCTCTGAAAGACTCAGAGTTGGTTGAACAGAGTCACCCATGTTTCTCTAACAGAGCTCACTCCATGTTTCTCAGAGCTCACTCCATGTTTCTCTAACAGAGCTCACTCCATGTAGCCTTCTCTTAACAGAGCTCATGCTCCATGTTTCTCTAACAGAGCTCACTCCATGTTTCTCTGACAGAGCTCACTCCATGTTTCTCTAACAGAGCTCACTCCATGTTTCTCTAACAGAGCTCACTCCATGTTTCTCTAACAGAGCTCACTCCATGTTTCTCTGACAGAGCTCACTCCATGTTTCTCTGACAGAGCTCACTCCATGTTTCTCTAACAGAGCTCACTCCATGTTTCTCTGACTGATGCTGGCCATCATCAGATAAAATACCAACTGTTGTATGGTATCTTGGTGTGCTAGCAGCATTAAGCCAGCATTGAACTGGACTGGTACAATCAGCCACACAAACACACACACACGTGCATGTACATGGCTGTATAACCTGCAATGGCTGTATGTAACCTGCAACTTCAACCTTTTCTCTGAGTTTTAAATGTGTCAAGCCCCGATAGAACTCACTCTGAAGTATATTCCATTTCACCAAGTGGTTTTGTCCACCTCTTTGTCTTACATTGTATTTTCATAATTCATTATGGGGTAGCCTAGCGGTTAAAACTTGGCTCGAAGAAGACCGGGTTCGAATCCCACATGGGTACAATGTGAAAGCCCATTTCTGGTGTCCCCTACCGTTGTTGCTGGAATATTGCTAAAGCGGCGTAAAACCAAACTCAGTCAGTCATAATTCATTACTCATTCTTGTCATGAGACGTGACCATATGGAGCAGGTGGGGCTCTGTGACTATATCTTAGTGTGATGGTAAACAAATACAGCATGTTTTCTATTGTATGATTTATTGCAGGCAATCAACTACTACGAGGCTGCTCTCAAATCAGGTGGTCAGGCATTCCTCAGGTAGATCTTCCCTACTAGTATATACAGTACAGTCAATATTTATGTGTGAGTGTCTGTATTTCTTGAGTAAGAGTCAATTTTCATTATCTTGGCTGTGTTGAAGTAGTGTCTCTCATGCTGAAACAGTTTCTTGAAGTTCACCTCTGTTACTAAGATCCAGAATAGAGACAGGATTGGGTGATGAGGCTGCCGAACTGGTCGATGCATGTAGTTATATCCCAGTTGCGTAGATTAATGCTGACAGTGTCAGTCACTGGATTGTCTGGTCCAGACTTGATTGTCATATAGCTGGAATATTGCTGAGTGTGACATTAAACAACAGACATCTTCACAGGTCACGATTGTTGTTTTATTGTTGACAGAGGTGTAAAACAGCTTCCTTTACATATGTTTCTTCCCCAGATACGACCTAGCAGAACTATTGCTCAAACTTCGACAATACGACAAAGCTGAGAAAGTCCTAACACAGGCACTGGATAATGAGGGACAAGGTGCGTTTGATTCCACTCACAATATACCCCACTTCTTCTGAACAGTTACGTCTTATTGACTTTCTTCCAATATTTTATTGTACCTTGATTATGTCCTGTGTCCTGACCTAGAATTTAGCCAAACATACTGTTGCATACTTATGACCACCATTTTGACCATGTTTACTTTCGACCAGTGAAGATCCAGGTTAGAATTGGTTTTCAGCAGTCTAAGTAAACTTAGGCTCAGTATTATTCGTTACACTGCTATACTGAGTCTAACAAAACCTTGTGGAAGGTCGCGTCAGCTGACCTTTCAACGGACCAATCAGAACACAGCTTACAAAATCGCAAAAGTTGACATTTGCACATACCTTTTGAACTTTTACCTCCGAATTTTTTTGTACCCGGACGATTCGAATGCTATTTTCCGTTATGATTGCTTCTGAGTGATGCACATGGAGCATGCCACAAGAGTGAGTAAACAGTCGCTGAGAATAGCGTTTTGTCAGTATTCAAGGATGCCAGCTTGCAAAAATATTAGCTAATCATAGCCATGTCAACAGAAACCCAAAGCGTATATTCTGCAGGTCATACATCTGTGTTTTATCGCGGGTTTTGATTTGTTATGAGATCACTGTTGGCGACCGGGGAAGAGAAAATCCATTTTGTAAGTCCGCCAAACCCTAAATAGTAGCCGTTGTCTGATTGGTTAAATCCGTTCGTCCGTCGTTTGATTGGACGGTCATAGGTCACTCAAAAGTTACCTGGCGAACCTTCCACAAGGTTTTGTTAGACTCAGTATAGCAGTGTAACGAATAATACTGAGCCTACGTTTACTTAGACTGGGTCTTCAGCAACCCAAAAGGTGACTAAGAGGATTGGGTAGTCTTGCTGACTTGATTGACACATGTCATGCCATTATCCCAGTTGTGTAGATCGATGCTTATGCTGTTGATAAATATTGCTGAGTGCGGCGTTAAACAACAAACCAACCAAGCAACCATGTTGACTCACTTGTATGAACTGTAGATCTGGACACGCTGATCGAGCACACGAGGTACCTGGTCCTGCTGGCCAGGGTCTACCAGAAGAATGACAGGATGGACGATGCTCTGGAGACTCTTAACAAAGGCAGGGACATGCAAGCCAGGTAGGAGACTGCATCTCAGGATCATTGTAGTTTTGCCACTCTTTGGGGACATGTCTCAGTCTGCTGTCTTGTCAGTTTGTTAGCACTGAAATGTAAAGTCCCAGCTCATAGGCTGATCCAAAGGGGGTCCTTTTGTCCTGAACGTTCATTAAATGACCATTGAAACTCTCGTGAAAACGGGTGAAAATGAAGTGTGCACCTGCCCTTTCTCAAAAGTGTGCCCCCGACCCCCTTCTCAAAATGCTGTAAATTATCACATAAATGGGCTCTAGTGTTTTTGAGAGATTGGGTCGCTTGCATATTGTAGCAGTCTGTGCTAACACTATTGAAAACACTGTCCTTAACTTTTCTCTTAGAATCCTTGTGGTAGTATTTAGTGTTAAGTGCATTAGGTGAGCAAGACCGAACAGAATGTTACCTGACTAGCACTTCCAATTTGAGGCTGAAGTCTCAGACTGCAACAGCCTTCCAAGAAATACAGGAACTGGCAATCATGGACAGTACCTAACACATTCTTGATGACCCTTGCTTGTGCGTATTTCAGGGTGTTGAAGAGAGTTCAGATGGAACAGCCTGATGCCTACTCAGCCCAGAAACAGCTAGCTGCAGAGTAAGCCTTTGTTCCATCCATTCATTAACTATAGCAACTATTTCAAAAATGATCTGGACAATGAACCAGTTTGGTGATGGGAGCAAAAGGGCTGAATGAATCTTACCTCTTTATTGGTAATGATGATAATAGTCCTCATATCCCAAATACAGGCATGTACTACTCAGAGAATTTAAAGAACACTTGATTCCTTCACATTGCTACAGTTTATATGTCATTTCCTTAACTTTTTTAGGAGTAGTATATATCATTCAATAATTGAGAGGAATATTTGAGCCATTCTTTGATACACCTGGCTTGACAAATTGATTATGTGTGATTGTACTGCTGTTGTATGGGTTGTCTCTCATCATATCCATCAGAGGATTGTCTGGTCCACTTTTGAGTACATACAAGCTGATGTGTTAACTTTTGAATATTGCTGTGTGCAACAACAGCAAACAAGCAAAACCTCCGCCTCAGTTGTTGTTTGAGTAATGCCCCTTGTTTGTGCAGTATCTGTTGCCAACTGGCCCAACACTCGGCCAATCAGAGGGATTACGAGAAAGCCATCAAGTACTACAAAGATGCTCTGGTCTACAACGAGAATGATGGCAAGGTGAGCAGTGACCTTTGACCCATCACCTAGATCCATTTGCACAAAGCTGCTGAAATTGTAATTCCAATACTTTAACATAGACTTTGCTAAGATCAATTTGTGCAAGTGGGCCCTGGCAAACACCAAGACAGGGAGCGTTATCATTTACTGTAAGGTTATCAGTTAGTGATGTGAAAAGAGACAAGTATCCACAAAAAGTCATTAAAGATAAAAATGATTTTTTATAATAAAGGTAAGCTTTGACCTGTCATTACTTGATGAAAGAGGACTTGTATTGGTTCATATACTTTAATGTCACCTATATAAGTAAGCCTTGACCTGGCTGTACCTGATGACATAGGACTTGGTTTATATACTGTAACATTACCTGTGTAGGTAAGCCTTGACCTGGTTGTACCTGATGACATAGGACTTGGTTTATATACTGTAACATTACCTGTGTAGGTAAGCCTTGACCTGGCTGTACCTGATGACATGTAACATTACCTGTGTAGGTAAGCCCGTGGCTGTACCCGATGAGGACTTGGTTTATATACTGTAACATTACCTGTACCTGATGACAGAGGACTTGTAGGTAAGCCTTGACCTGGCTGTACCTGATGACATAGGACTTGGTTTATATACTGTAACATTACCTATGTAGGTAAGCCTTGACCTGGTTGTACCTGATGACATAGGACTTGGTTTATATACTGTAACATTACCTGTGTAGGTAAGCTTGGTTTATATACTGTAACATTACCTGTGTAGGTAAGCCTTGACGTGGCTGTACCTGATGACATAGGACTTGGTTTATATACTGTAACATTACCTGTGTAGGTAAGCCTTGACCTGGCTGTACCTGATGACATAGGACTTGGTTTATATACTGTAACATTACCTATGTAGGTAAGCCTTGACCTGGCTGGACTGTACTTGATGACATGTGAGCTGGTTTATATACTGTAACATTACCTATGTAGGTAAGCCTTGACCTGGTTGTACCTGATGACATAGGACTTGGTTTATATACTGTAACATTACCTGTGTAGGTAAGCCTTGACGTGGCTGTACTTGATGACATAGGACTTGGTTTATATACTGTAACATTACCTGTGTAGGTAAGCCTTGACCTGGCTGGACTGTACCTGATGACGGAGGACTTGGTTTATATACTGTAACATTACCTGTGTAGGTAAGCCTTGACCTGGCTGGACTGTACCTGATGACGGAGGACTGGACTGTACCTGATGACAGAGGAGGACTTGGTTTATATACTGTAACATTACCTGTGTAGGTAAGCCTTGACCTGGCTGGACTGTACCTGATGACATAGGACTTGGTTTATATACTGTAACATTACCTGTGTGGGAAGCCTTGATGTGTACCTGATGACATAGGACTTGGTTTATGTACTGTAACATTACCTGTGTAGGTAAGCCTTGATGTGGCTGTACCTGATGACAGAGGACTTGGTTTATATACTGTAACATTACCTGTGTAGGTAAGCCTTGACCTGGCTGGACTGTACCTGATGACGGAGGACTTGGTTTATATATATACTGTAACATTACCTGTGTAGATGACCTGGAGGACTTGCCTTGACCTGGCTGGACTGTACCTGATGACGGAGGACTTGGTTTATATACTGTAACATTACCTGTGTAGGTAAGCCTTGACCTGGCTGGACTGTACCTGATGACGGAGGACTTGGATTATATACTGTAACATTACCTGTGTAGGTAAGCCTTGACCTGGCTGGACTGTACCTGATGACGGAGGACTTGGATTCCTGCCAGCATCAACTGATGACGCTACTCAAGAATGATAAGGAAAACGATGCAGCTACCATTGTAAGTATTCCCATCCAGTGTTTTGAAAAATTACAGGTCAAAGTCAAGGGATCTTTGTCATGGTCAGAACAATGATAATGACAGGTTTTGGGTGGTCTTTTTATTCCATGTTATACCCATTTTTATCTAGGACAATGTTTGCATTAAGACTGACATGATTTTAAGAGAAGATGCATATTCTTAGTTTTCAAATTTTCAGATGTTGGCCGACCTGATGTTCCGCAAGAATGAGTATGACTCAGCCATGTTCCACTTTCAAAATCTGCTACAGCTGAAACCTGGTATGTATGAGTTAGACTTGCTAAGTAATCCTGCTCCTATTGTTTACACATCTTTAAACAGGCTTGTTACCTGTGAAGGTCCGTGTTAGAATTGGTCTTCAGTAACCCATACTGGTCGTTAGAGGCGACTAACGGGATCGAGTGGTCAGGCTTGCTGACTTTGTTGACACATGTCATCGCATCCCAATTGCGTAGATCGATGCTCATGCTTTTGATCACTGGATTGTCGATTACTTACAGACCGCCACCATATGGCTGGAATTTTGCTGAGTGTGGTGTAAAACTAAACTCACTCACTGTGCATGCACGCCCGCCCGCAAACTCACTCACTCACTCACTCACTCACTCTACAGGCTTGTCTGTTGGAGGGGACAATGTGTATCCTAAGGGAAGACATGGAACCTTAGGAAATGGTGGTTGAGTGGGTGCCCTCATTTAAACCCCAACTATCTACTATTCTCTTTGGGTTCAAGATTGATCACTTGTCAGGCCATGGCTCAGATCTGTATTTTTTGTTCATGTTTACGTTGTTTAAAAAATTAAGAGAAGTCAAATATCTCCTTCCCCTCCCTCCAAGATGGAATTGCTTGCCACTCTCACATCCCAGCCTCTTGAGATGAATTGGAAGATCTATGTCACCAACCCTAACATGAAATAGTAGCTCTATTTCCCCACCCCCTAAAATGATATAGTTTGTGCTTGTTCCGGACCCCAAGATAAATGATCATGTCCATGGACACATCATCAAACATGAAAGGTAAGGTCTATTGAACATGTCATCAAAGATGAAAGGTAAGGTCTATTAGATCTGCCATCAAAGATGAAATGTAAGGTCTATTGGACCTGCCATCAAAGATGAAAGGTAAGGTCTATTAGACCTGTCATCAAAGATGAAAGGTAGTGTCTATTGGACCTGCCATCAAAGATGAAAGGTAAGGTCTATTGAACCTGTCATCAAAGATGAAAGGTAATGTCTATTGGACCTGCCATCAAAGATGAAAGGTAAGGTCTATTGAACCTGTCATCAAAGATGAAAGGTAATGTCTATTGGACCTGCCATCGAAGATCTATGATAAAAGATCAGGTCCAGGGGCCATTTGAAAAACTTCATGAGTCTTTCTAGGAATTTACAAGTTGCATATGACAAGAAATGTTATGAATAGCAACAGGACATTCTCTATATCAAGGGCAAGAAGTAACTCTGAGCTGCTGTGCATGTACAATATATAAGTTGTTATCCATAATAAATGTTCCATGTCTTCAAAGTCCTACCAAAGACATACTGGAGGTTATTAATCACATTGATATCTGTTACTTATAAAAATTAATGTGACTTTGTTTTGCTACCATCTACATTTGGTTCATAATGATGCTGATACACAAATGGAATTGTTCTGTGTAGATAACTATGATGCTTTGGCTCGTCTGGTTGACTTGATGCGGAGAGCAGGGAAGCTGGATGAAGTCCCCAAGTTCCTGGAGCTGGCAGAGGTTGCATCCTCCCGTGCTGGAATGGAGGCTGGCTTCAGTTACTGCAAGGGGTTGTATGAATGGTATGTGGACCTTCTTGTGTTGATGCATAGTGTGCAGAGTTGCCTCCCCTGACTGCAATGGCCTCCTTGTATTGATACTAAGTATGCAGAGTTGCCTCCCCTTACTGCAATGGCTTCCTTGTATTGATACGTAGTGTGCAGAGTTGCTTCCCCTTACTGCAATGGCCTTGTATTGATATGGAATGTATGGAGTACGGAGTGTGCAGAGTTGCCTCCCCTTACTGCAATAACCTTGTATTGATACGGAGTGTGCAGAGTTGCCTTCCCTTTCTGCAATGGCCTTGTATTGATACGTAGTGTGCAGAGTTGCCTCCCCTGAGTGCAATGGTCTCTGTTATATCTTTGTTAAGTTGCCTTGTGTTGGCTTTTATGTTAGTGACGCTGTGAATTGGGTGATATGGCTAGAGGAATTATGTGTGAATATGGAACAATGCTCTTAATGTCAATCACTAGACAGCCTACTCCAGACTAGATCATTATCGACCACTTGACAATTGCTGGAATATTAACTGTGGCATTAAAGTACAAACAATATGTATACTCCCGTCTCCCATGCATGTTTCATATTCCCTTATTATTTTCTGTAGGTATACTGGCAACCCTACTACAGCACTGAAACTGTTCAACAAGGCAAGGAAAGACTCTGATTGGGGAAACCAGGCTATTTACAACATGATCGAGATCTGCCTCAACCCTGACAGTGATACTGTTGGTGGAGAGGTGTTTGAATCTATGGATGGAGACTCAAGGTGAGGACACATCATAGGCGGATCCAGAGGAGGGATGCAGGGGTGCACACCCACCCTTTGGACCTGAAAGTTTATTAAATGACCATTGAAATTCTCGGAAAATGGGTAAAATTGAACTGTGCACCCCACCTTGGTTCTATTCCCAACATGGGTACAATGTGTGAAGCCCATTTCTGGTGTCCCCTGCTGTGATAATGCTGGAATATTTCTAAAAGCGGTGTTAGATTAAACTCACTCACTCACTCACAATGGGAGATGTTCATTCTAGGTGTTAATGGATTGGTGTTATTTTCATTTGTCAGTTTTCAGATTTTTCATTTGAAGCCATTAGCAGCATTGTTTGTATTTCCATGCAAATATAAATGAATCCATCAAAGTCTTGCTGTTGTAAATTGCAGTGGTTCCGCCGACCGTGAGAACAGTGAACAAATGGCAGTGAGGACAGCCGAGAAACTCTTGCGAGTAAGTGCAAGTTTTGTCTTCAAACATGTCCTCGAAAACCTTTGCTTCTTATTAGTTTTATAGATTGGCAGCTTGATATCTGACGCTTATTCCAGGTGGATTCATTGATCATCATAAATTGACAGACTGAACAGCACTCAGGCTTTCAGCATCACAAAATTGTGCACAGTTGCCTCCCTTAGCTGCCACTAACCATTGCTGTTGTGTCACATTTTAACATCAACACAAATCTTCATCACACTTTAGCTACCATTGTTGAGTAATGGTGTATTCCAGACTAAAACAGTGTTAATCACTGGCCTGGATGTCACCCAAAATTGAAACCATGAAGAATTTGTGTTGACCTTCTATTTGGATACGTACTGAAACACTATAAAAAGCTCACTCACCCTCATTCCAGATATGGATATATGTTAAGACTGTTCAGTTGAAATATTTGGATATTTCAGGAAGTGAAGCCGAAGCCAGGTGACTTTCGCCCGAAATTGCAGGTGAACATGGCCCTTATTGCATCCAAACAGAAGTCCAATGTAGAGAAAGCCCTGTCTGCGTTCATGGATATTGCTTCATATGAGGTAAAAATGTTTAACCACTGAAATAGTTTATTCTATAATCACATCCTTGATGACAGTAGAGAAAATGATGCCCATTGTAAGTTTGATATCCTCATGGCATTCCAACATCTGTAGTCCAATCAAAGTTTGTTCTTCAAATCTTGTTAAGATGTATTGAGACAGTGTTGAATATGACTATCGATAGCTTTTAACGTAGTGCATTTAAGACAAAGGCTGCTGCTCTTCTGATCAAGTGAAATTTTCCGTGTAACATGGGGTCCAAGGAAGTGTTTGGATCTTTTTCCACTTGGGAGCATTGATGGTTATGTTGTGAGCATACAAAGGGTGAAGGAAAGTAGCAATGTCCAAGATTTCTCTACTGAGTGAGAGCTCACTGTTGACTTTTGTTTTACAGAGGGATCATGTCGGAGCTTTGTATGGCATGGCAGCAGCCTACATGGTCCTGAAACAAACTCCCAGAGCTAGGAATCAGCTCAAGAGAGTGGCGAAAATAAACTGGAACATGCAGGTAAGTTAATTTAAAGGGCTAGTGCAAATAGGTGAGTAAGTGAGGCTAGTACAAATGAGTGAGTGAGGCTTGTACAAATAAGTGAGTGAGTGAGGCTAGTAGAAGTAATTGAGTGAGTGAGTGAGGCTTGTGTACAGACAAGTGAGTTATGCTAGTGCAAGTGAGTGAGGCTAGTAGAAATATGTGAGTGAGGCTAGTACAAGTAAGTGAGTGAGTGAGGCTAGTACAAATAAGTGAGTGGGTGAGGCCAGTACAAATAAGTGAGTGAGGCTAGTAGAAATATGTGGGTGAGGCTAGTACAAATAAGTGAGTGAGTGATGCTAGTACAAATAAGAGAGTGGGTGAGGGCAGTATAAATAAGTGAGTGAGTGAGGCTAGTAGAAATATGTGTGAGGCTAGTACAAGTAAGTGAGTGAGGCTAGTACAAATAAGTGATTGAGGCTAGTAAATAAGTGAGTGAGGCTAGTAGAAATATGTGAGTGAGGCTAGTACAAGTGAGTGAGTGAGGCTAGTACAAATAAGTGAGTGAGTGATCCTAGCAGAAATACGTGAGTGAGGCTAGTACAAATTAGTGAGTGAGTGAGGCTAGTACAAATAAGTGAGTGAGGCTGGTGCAAATATGTGAGTGAGTGAGTGAGGCTAGTACAAATAAGTGAGCGAGTGAGGCTAGTACAAATAAGTGAGTGAGGCCAGTACAAATAAGTGAGTGAGTGAGGCCAGTACAAATAAGTGAGTGAGTGAGGCTAGTACAAATAAGTGAGTGAGTGAGGCTAGTGCAAATAAGTGAGTGAGGCTTGTGCAAATATGTGAGTGAGTGAGTGTGAGGCCAGTACAAATAAGTGAGTGAGTGAGGCTAGTACAAATAAGTGAGTGAGTGAGGCTAGTACAAATAAGTGAGTGAGGCCAGTACAAATAAGTGAGTGAGTGAGGCCAGTACAAATAAGTGAGTGAGTGAGGCTAGTACAAATAAGTGAGTGAGTGAGTGGCTAGTGCAAATAAGTGAGTGAGGCTTGTGCAAATATGTGAGTGAGTGAGTGAGGCTAGTACAAATAAGTGAGTGAGTGAGGCTAGTACAAATAAGTGAGTGAGTGAGGCTAGTGCAAATAAGTGAGTGAGGCCAGTACAAATAAGTGAGTGAGTGAGTGAGTGAGTGATGCTGCTAGTACAAATAAGTGAGTGAGTGATGCTAGTACAAATAAGTGAGTGAGTGATGCTAGTACAAATAAGTGAGTGAGTGAGGCTAGTACAAATAAGTGAGTGAGTGAGTGACAAATTTAGTGAGTGAGTGATGCTAGTACAAATAAGTGAGTGAGTGAGGCTAGTACAAATAAGTGAGTGAGGCTAGTACTCCCAAGGTGTCCAGATTAAATCAAGAAAACGTATTTTCTGAAGACCATGTGTATGATGGTGGAAGGGTATGAGTGTATGAAATATGATCATCAGTATTTTGTTGTTGACCACATGACACTGTGTTGTTTGTTGTTGTGCAAGACACTGATGACCAAGAGATGGGTCCGTTGTCCCACTGTATGATAGTTGTTTTCTCTTGTGGTAAATGGTCAGTCTTGAGTGATGTTGATCGTTTACATTTTGTTACTGAGTTGTTTCAATTCTTTGGGATGCTTACAGCCAAGAGAAGGATGTGTTGTTTTCTGATGACCAAGAGTGAGTGAGTTTAGTTTTACGCCGCTTTTAACAATATTCCAGCAATATCACAGCGGGGGACACCAGAAATGGGCTTCACATACTGTACCCATGTAGGGAATCGAACCCAGGTCTTCGGCGTGACCAGCAAGCGCTTTAACCACTCAGCTACCCCACCGCCCTCTGATGCCCAAGAGAGGAGTTAGTTATTGCCTCTGTATAATTGATGTTTGTTCTGGAAATAATGGCAGTGTTCTATGGGATGCTGACAGCCTAGAGGAAGTTGTTTCCGAAGTGTTGTTTTGTTGTTGTACAGGATGCAAATGAGCTGGAGAAGAGTTGGTTGTTGCTGGCAGACCTCTACATTCAGTCAGGGAAATATGACATGGCCACAGATCTTCTGAAGCATTGTTTACAGTACAATAAGGTAGGTGTACAGAAAATAATTATTTACTGTAAAGTGTGAAATCATTATAGTACAGTCTCGTTAATCCGACATCGTCCGTTGCACAGCAAATTATCGGATTATCGAATTTTGAGTACAGATCACGTTCATGGTCAAAAACAGAACAATCATGATTCATATTTTTTAATTTTTAATTTATTTGTGTGTGTGTACGTGCGTGTGCGTGTGTGTGTGTGTGTGTGTGATTAGTGTTGGGAATCAACCTCTTAAACCATAATCGATTATCGACTTTAGATCACATCTTTTACAACTAAACGATATGTACGTGAAGATATGTGTGTGTGTGAAAACTGAGAAAGTAGAACTCTAGATCTACGTGTTGACTTCGATGCAGAAATCAGAATAGTACGGCTGTAGATCTAAGAGTAGATGTAACAAGTATCAATAAATCTACCATATCTATTTCCAACCTTGTTCATGAATTCGATGAGAACTGAGCCTTTCGCAAATACAAAATGTTTTCTTGAAGCAGGCACTTTGTTGACAGTCTTGTCAGCCAATCAAAGTGTTAATATTCTTAAGGAGTATTTATTGTTTTCAAAACCAATTCCTATTTTCATTAAACATTTACGAAACCTTCATCAAAGCTTGCATTTAAACATGGGTCTAAACAATATAATGACAAAACGGCTGCTCCCTCAGCAAGCTATAAATAGAATTGACTTCCTGTTTTATGGCAGTTATACAATGTTCATCAGATGGCAGAATTTGTGTTCATAATACTCCTTGCTCCTCTCGTATCATAACGTCTTGAGTGACACGTGGCAGTGTATTCACAGGTAATATATATATCATCAATATCTTTTTGCCATGTTGCAGTCATGTTGCAAGGCCTATGAGTACTTGGGATTTATCATGGAGAAAGAGCAGTCCTACAAAGATGCAGCCCACAATTACGAAAACGCCTGGAAGTATGGCAACAAGAACAACCCGGTCATTGGTAAGGCGTGAAAGGGTGTGAATGTTAAACACACCTTTGGTGAAATCTGTTCTATTGTTTTATGCTCCTGCTTATCACAATATTCTCGTGACGACAGTTAGTGCGGTCATCACATACATATTCCGATGTAGCTCTCAGTTAGTATATATTTTTGCAAATATGATTTCAGGGCATAGATTAACAATATGATTACGAAAAACTCACAAGAGAAAATCATTATTACCCAATATTTCCATTCAGTATCTATTTCCATAGATATGTGCCATAATTCTCAATGTCTGCCAAGCTCTTGGCATGTAGTGGATACTTGTGATTCTCTGACTGTTGTTTTGTTATGATTATAATACATGCAATTGGAATCTATAAAGTTTACTCATGTGAGTGAGTAAGTTTAGTTTTATGATGCTTTATGCAAAATTCCAGCATATCGCGGCGGGGGACACCAGAAATGGGCTTCACACATTGTACCCATGTGGGGAATCAAACCCACATCTTCAGCATGAGCAAACACTTTAACCACTAGGCTACCCCACCGCCCCTTACTTGTGCGTGGTATATGAGTGAGTGAGTTTGGTTTTACGCCTCTTTTAGCAATATGTCAGCAATATCACGGCGGGGGACACCAGAAATGGGCTTCACACATTGTACCCATGTGGGGAATCGAACCCGGTCTTCAGCATGATGAGCAAACACTTTAACCACTAGGCTACCACACCGCCCTTGTGGTATATGAATTGAGACAAATCTTAATGATAGTGTGATTGCACAGGATACAAGATAATGTAGAGGTCACAAATGGAATATTTTTGTAACATACCATGGAGGAAAAGAAATGTCTATTGTGATGAGTAAACTTTATTGATTTTCAATGTATTGCACCAATATACCCCTGGCCATAGCAATGTCATTATGATGATTAACAATTTGTTTATTATGTCTTATTTTCCTGTGTACAAGGATGTTACTAAGAGAGTTGCTATGAGAGTTACAACATGCATGATTGGTTACAAGGTGATTTTCAGCTTAAAGACTTAATAAGAGAATTACCAAAAGAGTTACTAGGGAGAGTGACAATTGGAGGTATTGAAGGTTTTACATAAGGAATTGCTAAGGCTGATATCCAACAAATACATGGGAGTTACAAGGTGATTTGTGGTACTTTAAACGACAAGAGATTATCTACAACAAGTACATCAGAGAGACAGAGGCAAATATAACATGTATACAGGAGATTTAGGAAAGCTTCTTTGGGAAAGTGAAAGGTGATGTACAACAATTACAAGGTGATATACATCAAGTACATGGAAGTTATTTAGAGAGCTTCTGGGGGAATTACAAGCAGTCTAAGTAAACTTAGGCTCAGTATTTTTCGTTACACTGCTATTCTGAGTCTAACAAAACCTGGTGGAAAGTCGCGTCAGGTAACCTTTGAGCGATCTATGACCGTCCAATCAAACATGAGACGGCCGAACAGATTTAACCAATCAGACAACGGCTACTACTTAGGGTTTGGCGGGACTTACAAAATGGCTTTTCTCTTCCCCGGTCACCAACACTGTTCTCATAACAAATGAAAACCCGCAAAAAACACAGATATATGACCTGCAGAATATACGCTTTTGATTAGCTAATATTTCTGCAAGCTCATATCCTTGAATACTGACAAGACGCTATTCTCAGCGACTGTTTACTCACTCTTGTGGCGTGCTGCATGTGCATCACTCGGAAGCGATCCTACGGAAAATAGTATTGGGAATCGTTCGGGTACAAAACTTTTTCGAGGTAAAAGTTCAAAAGGTATTTGCGAAATGTCAACTTTCGTGATTTGGTAAGCTGTGTTCTGATTGGTCCATTGAAAATGTCAGCTGACGCGACCTTCCACAAGGTTTTGTTAGACTCAGTATAGCAGTGTAACGAATAATACTGAGCCTAAGTTTACTTGAAGACTGGATTTACAAGCTGATTACATTTTGATTTACAAGTACAAGGGTATCGCAAGGAGTACAAGGATGTAACTAGCAGACTTATGGAATTTCAAGAGATTTACTAAGTCCCTGAGTGAGTTGCAACATATACAAGGGGATTTATGACAAATGTAATTGCTAAAAAAAGAGTTGCTGAGGAAAATTCCAGAAGAATTGCTTGGTTTGTCACTGGGAGAATTATTTGGAAAAGCACACCTTGGGTGTTGCTAAGCAACTTACTTGAAAGATCCTTCAGCAGACTCATGAAGATCCGGGTTAGAATTGATCTTCAGCAGCCCAGGCGACAAACGGGATCGGGTGGTCAGGCTCACTGACTTGGTTGACACATGTCATCGTGTACCAGTTGCGTAGATCAATGCTCATGCTGTTGGTTACTGGATTGTCTGGTCCAGACCGATTATATACAGACCGCCGCCATATAGCTGGAATATTGCTGAGTGTGGCGTAAAACTAAACTCACTCACTCACCCACTCACCAAATGCTAGGAAGATGATCAGTTCAATATTGTCTGACATGGGGCTTTGAGTAACTTCTGACATCTTCAAGTGGTTGAACATTAATTTGGTATGGCAGATGCTCTCTCTATGACACTAATCATGAATATTTACAGGTTACAAGCTTGCATTCAACTACATGAAGGCCAAGAGATTTGTGGACGCCATTGATATCTGCCATCATGTAAGAACATTTTGTTTTGTTTCTCCAAGAAGTAGTTGTTAAGACAGTTCTCCATAACGGAATAACTAAGGAATCTATCATCAGCATATCTCAAAATCTTCTGTGTTGACTAGAAATACTCAGTTTGTGAATAGTGGTGTTGAAATTGCGTTATTTATTTACTTGTTTGTTCTATGACAGCAATATACCAGCTATATGATGTTGACCTGTAAATAATGATGTTTGGACCATGATTCCACATTGTTTTTGCCAACTTGTATAATGCCAATCAAACACATCATGTTTATCTTACAGGTTCTTTCTAGCCATCCAAACTACCCTAAAATTCGGAAAGACATTCTTGAAAAGGCCAGGACAAGTCTACGTGTTTGAGAAACATCCGGGAGCACTGCTTATCACATATCACTTGAACAAGATATATATCATAGAGAGGACATATCTCACACTGTCATGTGTATATAAGGAAGCCAGGAGAATTGGGAACACTATGTTGCTGTGATACTGAAGAGATTCAAAGACTGAAATGACAATTCCTTTTACAATAAAAATAATGAGATATTTTTAGGATGATGCTTTTACTGTTTCAGAGCACCAAGTGTTCACAGTTGTAACACTGATCTCACCGACTGCCCCATTCACTTGTTAATGCTTCTAGCCAGAGGTGTATGCAAATCATCTTCTTGCAAGAGGACCACTGAGATATCAAACTTTTTATGGTTAAGACAGCTTCTGTATTGTAAGTTCCAACATTTCTGGGCTAGTTCTACGTCAAGGCGAAAGGATACATCAGTGCATCATGTGTTTTCATGCAGGATACTCTCATTGATACACTTACCAAATTACTTACTACTCATTTAATGACACTCCACCTGAGCAATGTTTTCAGTCCAATATTGCAGGATGAACTGTACTACTACAATAAGTAGTATGTAGTAGGATATGTAGTTGCTGCACCAAATGTGATTCTATAACCTTGGAACCTGCTCAGAAGTATGTGTAGTCAAGAATGTGAGTGAGTTTAGTTTTTAACAAAATTCCAGCAATATCCCGGTTGGGGTCACAAGAAATGGGCCTCACACATTGTGCCCATGCAAGGAACCAAACTCGGGTGTTCGGCACGATGAGCAAACACCTTAACCACTAGACTACCCCACCGCCCATGTAATCAGAGGTTTCCACATGATCTGACAAGAATGTTCATATCGCAGTACTCGTATTGTATCATGACCGACGTATCATGATATATATCATATCTTGCACCTGTTGTGTCTTTTCACCCCTAGTTCTTGCCCAGAATCATTCATCTTATGAAAAGGCAGGAAACGGCCCAGAAACATTACAAATATGTTAGTTTTCATGTCTACATGTTCTTCCGACTTCTAAATCCTAGACTTGAGGAACATGCTAAGAAATGGTTAAGGTATGGGAAGCAATTGTACAATTGTCTGTGGAGGCTGGATTAGTTTGTTGTGCCTTTGAGTTAGGGCTGGTATCGATACAGACCCTAAACAGATCAATAATCATTAACTAAATATCGATAATGTGTGGTTGAGTGCACTTGAGCCTTTATTTCAGAAACCATTACAACCTTCAAACGTCCTTCACAAAAACCCGAGAGTTATTCCCCTTTTCCGGCGGCATGCTTACCTTGCATACCGCTAAAGAAAGTCGAGTTATCTCCCTTAGATCACGTTTAACTAAACATATTTTATACCTTATTACCATATTTCACAATAAATATCGGAGAAAAAACTTTGAGCGAAAAATATGCCAAAATATATCTGAAATAAATGAATATGTTTCACACCATTGGTGAACAGTGAAATGTTTATGCCTGGATTACTACTAAAAACGCATCCTGAATACAATTTAGATTAAAAACCTAACTTGGTATATTGTGTGAGTAAATTACAACTTTATTCTCTCTCAAAAGTTTATTTACGATCGATGACACTATTTTCATATCAATATTCTTTAGTAATTTTTCCTGTTGACGATATTTCCGATTATCGATCTTATTAGGCATCCTTAGTTTGTCGGTAAATCCAGCTTCATGCCTGATTTCTTACACACTTTTTTCAAGCTCACATGAGGGTAAACTGATGGTAGAGCATCCACAGTCATCATTTCCTAAAGCCATCAACTCACCACAGAGATTGTCTTGACTACGATAGGATTTATGGGCTGACCACTTTATGTGCTAGAGAGAAGAAGGCATTTAAATAACAACAAAAGTTTGTCTCAGAAACCCTTTGAAATAATAATTGCCTCACAAAAATATTTTTGTAGCAAAACATGTTTCATCTCACCAATTATATTTTTAAAATGTCTGAAAAATGTATGTTCCTCTCCCGCCTCTCCCTCTCCAACCCCACAAACCAGCACTTACCATATGGTTGGTGCTGCAGTCTTAGGTTTGCCTTATTATCGTATAGTCCCTCAACTTGCTGGGATGTTTTTGTTATTTATGAAAAGTTATTGTTATATAATGTCCGTCCATTTTGTAAAAAGGGAACTTCATATATGTATAATAAATAATTCAAAACTGACGTATTTTGTTTTGGTTTGACGTATGTTTATAGACGTGTGTAGTTTCATCTTTTGTCGTGTATTCATAATACACGTGTACAAGACACCGCATTCTTGGTGTAAAAGATGGAGCATCTGCCCAGAGAGAGGTCGTGGGTTAATTATTTCGCAATGTCATACGAAAATATTTCAGAAGGGCGTACTTTTTTTCAGCGGCCATATAGCTGGAATATTGCTTAGTTGATATCACTGATGACAGAGCTCAAGCCTTGAGCGAACCCGCGAGCACTGCACCACAAGCTGACAGATATGAAGCAATGTCTCTCTCACAGGGTCATATACTCTCAGCCAAGGTCGTAAAGAGTGAGGTCGTTTTCCTGCATCCGGCGGCGTTTGGTCGGCTTCTGGCCAGCTTCTAGTTGGAGCAAAAATGCTGCCTTGTTGCTCTCTTCCGACTTAATTTCAAAATAAGTTCATAAATGTTCAAATGGGGTTTAACTACTCGCTTTGCCAGACGACTGTTGTAGCCTTCGCATCCGTTGTTCGTCCTAGGGTTATCATTTCTAAAGTGGTTCCAGATTCTCATGGGAAAGCTGCCATTGATCAAGGTATCCAACATCCAATGAACATTCTGAACCACCGACGAACGTCTTCACTTGTCTTGTATGCGGAACCCAATCCCAATCCTTGTAGGTGTCTGAACAAAGCCTGGCCAAAGTGAAACAAACACCCCTTCAGGCTGGTAGCTGGAAGCAGGTCACGGCTGGCGTTGTGGACTGTCAGTTCAAAATCCAGAATGAGAGATGTTGGCTCTAATGTCAGCATCTGTGCAGTAGCCTTCGACGTCAACAAGCTGATCAGTCGCTGGTACGTTCCCAACTTCTTGTCAGGTAGTAGGTAGAATAACTCAGGGACACTTCCATAAGGCTGTTGTGAGTGAATGATATATAACTGGTAGAAGAGTTTCGAACAAATCTTAAAAGTTCCATCCATAGCTGCTGTTGGGGAATCAGGTCAGAATGGGTACCAAAACCTAGAATCCTACTGTCGTTATGATTATCATCAATCAGGAGAAAGTCATCACCATATTCTGTTGCTGTCCATTCGCCTTGCTGCCCACTGTTGCTGCCCACTGTAGCCAGACATCTGGTATGGAGACACCTCCAAGGAACTGAACCATTCTTGTTTTCCTTCCTGCGTGTCTCTGAACACATCATCAACAACCAAGATCATCACATCAAGTGGGAAGCCACCAAAGTCCTGTCCGCCAACAACAACAACAGGCGACAAAGAAAACTACAAGAAGCCATTGCCATCAGGAGACACCAGCCAGCCATGAACCGCGACCATGGAACCCATCTGCCCAATGCCTGGGACTTGTTACTTTGATCATTGTATATGTATATGTAATCATTGCGTTATCAGTGTCTGTGCTAATCGTCTTACTCTGGTCCATCTGTTTGTACTGGCCTCTAGTTGTCTTTCTCAATTGCGTTTATCCATTAGTGTTATTACAGGCTACCTCCCAGCTGCCCTTTGTCCATTCTCCAGATATTGGCTTTTAGATGTCCACTGTTCATCTCCTATCAACACTACTTAACTGTTAAATGTTGGCTTCTATCAGCACTAATTAACTAGTGTTGGCCCCCATTCAGTGCTAATTAACTGTTAAGTGCTGGCTTCCATTTGTTCCATTGTTTTGCCTGCATCTATGTTGTCTTATCACTTTTGTTGTTCTTACATGTACATATATATGCTATCTGTCTCATACCATTCATTTACCTGATGAAGGAGTAAGGATATATTCCGAAACGTTGTGTTCCTCATAATAAAGAAGTTGACATCCATAAAATTTCTCTTCCTGATCAAATTAATGTTCCAAAGTCAATCATAATGCAAGACATTAAGGTGAAAATACTTGACTCATGGCAATGTCTGATCATTTAAAACGTTTCAAGATGTCTGTCATTTGAGTACAAATTGTGTGCAGTGCAATATTTAAACATATAGTGCTATGTACGGCTGTGGATTCAAATTTCAAAAATGCGTTTGTTTACATTCAGCGGCTGAACCATATTCCAGTGTTTTGTTGGATTTTTTAGATGAACGATTTACCTGACATTGCGTGTGTTTGTGACGTAGTCTCATCAGTATCGTACTGTGATTTATAAACACATTCTTACTACATGTTCGGAATCGTAATTTGCAAAATTTATGGAAACTGTTTTGCCGCTTATAATTTATTAGAATCCAACCTGTCTTGACTTGCCTATTTCAAAATCCAATGATGGGTATACTGAATGTGATCATCATTTAGGGCTAATGTGTTACCTTAGTTGCTTTGTTTTGGTTTTAGACGATTTTACCAATATTCCAACACTAACACAGCGGGGACACCAGAAATGGGCTTCACACATTGTACCCATGATGGGGGGCGGTGGGGTAGCCTAGTGGTTAAAGCGTTGGCTCGTCACGCCGAAGACCCGGGTTCGATTCCCCACATGGGCACAATGTGTTAAGCCCATTTCTGGTGTCCCCCGCCGTGATATTGCTGGAATATTGCTAAAAGCGGCGTAAAACTAAACTCAGTCAGTCAGTCAGTACCCATGATGGGAATCGAACCCGGCGTGACGAGCCAACCCTTTAACAGCTACGTGTAGGCTAACCCACTTCCCCATAATGTAGATGAACGGACGATGGGACACAACAGTCAAACCAAAAACAGTCAAACTTAAAAACACTATTCGGTTGCATACACGTAAAGATTTAACACGTTGTTCCAAACTGAGGTGGACGTTGTCCCTGCACAAATATAGACTCCACATATTGTATATATCAGTTACTTTCCCATCCTCGATAATCTCCAGGGTAGGGATGGGATACCCGGGACGGCTGGGTAATGAGTTGGACCAGGGTACCCATCTCAAAACCCCGGACCCGTTATGATCATGTGACTAGTTGATTAAACAATATTGTATGTTATTCTTTCATGATTAAAATGTTGTATTGTCTTTGAAGATTTAGACATAATTTCATTTCTTTTGAATATAATATGTGTATACATGGTTAAGATATTGAAAAACTCTAAATTCTATCCTCCGAGCTAAGGAATATATTGCCATTTCTCGCAAATTTGATATATTTTTGGAAGGTTTCACACCTGTCAATTTGTCTGTATGATTTTCACCCTACATCTGAGACGCACAGCGAACAAACCTTCCCGGTTGCAGCTGCTATCTTTGATACTGGCAAGTTAGGTTGTAACGGCTTATCTGACTGGCTACTGTGAGAATGCGGAGCCAGAAAAGGGAGGTAATAAAGTTATCGGGCCGAGCCGTAGACGTTGGGTTTAACGTCGTACTTGAGAATATTTCGCTCCTATGACGACGTGCATGCGTGTGTATGTGTATGTGCGGCTCTTTGTACTAGCCCAGACTGAAGCTGGTTTTATAGTGCTAGCTCACTGAGATACCATGCCGCAGTGAAGCATGAATACCCCACTCAGACACATTATACTGACTCCGAGTCGACCAGTCCTTGTTGTACCCATTAATGCCAAGCGCCAAGCAGGGACCAACAAGTACCATAGTTTTAACTTCTTTTGGTATAACGCGGTCGGGGATCGAACCCGCGACCTTCCGCTCTCCGGGCGGACACACTAACCACTAGGCGGTCTTCCAGGGATTAGTGGACTGACTGACTGAGTATGGTTTTACGCCGTTTTTAGCAATATTCCAGCAATATCACGACAGGGGACACCAGAAATGCGCTTCACACATTGTACCCACGTGGGGAATCGACATCGGGACTTCGGCGTGACGAGCGAACGCTTTAACCACTAGGCTTCTCTCTCTCTCTCACCCGCCCCGGGTATAGTGGAGGTTTATCGGAACGTATACCCTGGAGATTATGGAGGATGTTACTGTCCATGAGTGAGCGTTTAAACCACTGCACCATATCTAGTGTACATAATGTACATCGCAATATACAAGAACCTACACCGTGTAAGTGAGTGTAGTGTTCCGCCTGTTTTAGCTATATTCTTGCTGCACCATGGCGTATGACACCAGAACTCGAGGAAACGAACCACGGACCGTGAGCGTTCCGAACGAATGGTTTATCCACAAGGCTACTCCTTCATTGTTTATGCTGATTCGGCATTGCATCCATGCATACGTGGTTCAGTGTATGCCTCGATGGTGTCGGTCAATGCTCATAATATTAACCATCGGTTTGGTTTGATTAACACAATGAAAGGTACATATGTACAGCCTTTAACCTGCTGGTACACATCATGACGGGGTCAGATCCAAAGTCCACGCAACATATGGTTACAGTGTATGCCTCGACATCGATCAATGCTCATGATATTAACCATCGGCTTGGTTTGGCCCCTATGTACAGCCTTTAGCTCCAGCTGGTACACGCCATATCTGGGCGCGCCCTGCCATTGACAATCGTACACCTCCAGTTGAGACACAGCATGCCATTGGCAACCGTATGTCCAAAGTCCACGCAACACATGGTTACAGCGTCGATCAATGCTCATGATATTACCCATCGGTTTGGGCGTGAGCCACTGAGCCAACCCATAAATCAAAACTATATAATACGAAACAGACAAGAGTAAAGTATGCTGGGTATTTATTTTCATCTTATATAGTATATGCAGTTACATCTTTTACATCATGTGTGTGTACTTCAGTTTTTGGAGCCTGGACAGGCTATGGTCCCCCCTCGTCTTGACACGCGCAAGTTTCTGGATTACTCAACTGTGAAACAACCAGAAACAATACATTAGTCATACTCATTGACAAAATTATGGAATTGGACGCAACAGCAAACAAACTTTTTCACAGAAAGTCAATAGGGAACACGTGTGGTGGTGCTGGCTCTGTATGGTAATTACCGCCGCACACAGCTATATTCCAGCTATATGGGGTGGTCTGTAAAGAATCGAGTCTGGACCAGACAATCCAGTGATTGATATGATAGCCAAACATTGTCAAATCTATGTATGGAGAGGAATGTGGATCATGAAGAAATAGCGCAGTTCTGTATTTCTCTGTTAAAAAGATATGAACATTATTTAACATCTGGGAATGTTTTTATTGAGGGATCATTTCAGAATGCTCAATGCATTGGTTGGTTTGTTTGACGCCGTCCTCAGTAATATTCCAGCTACATTTCAGCGGCCTGTATATAAACAAGTCTGGGCCAGAAAATCCAGTGATCAACATCATGAACATCGATCCACGCAATTGGGCTACGATGACATGTGTCAACCTAGTCAGCCAGCCTGACCACCCAATGCCTTTCTAAAACTTCACCCATTACCCGTTAGTCGGATCATGCTGAAGACCAAATCTAACCCGAATCTTCACGGGTCCACACAATTTGGACCTAGAATAGAGGTATGATTTTATCAGGAAAGGGGAGTATTACTTACACGTATCATTTCAAAGGAGTTGTCAGTGCACAAAGCATTGACAGACACCTTTTCTGCAGCAAACGTAACTCCTTTGCAGCAGATGCTGGAGCTTGTACTTCCCGCTGGGCTGACGCATTGCAGAGACTCGCAAACGTTCATTTCCGCCTCGTAGAAACATGATATGGCTCCACGTGTGATGTTGTATTGCACCTTCTTCAAGACAGGTCCGTCATTGCAGAGCTTGGGTGGTTCGGGTTCTGTATCATAAAGTTGAGTGAGTGAGTGTTTTACGCCTTATTAGCAATATTCCGGCATTATCACGGCGGGGGACACCAGGGGCTCCTTTCACGAAGCAACCTTTACTAAGGTTAACCTTTACTCCCATTCTTTAACATTGCACTAAGGTTAATTTAGGGAAGGTAACCTTAGTGCAATGTTAAAGAATGGGAGTTAAGATTGACCTTAGTAAAAGTTGCTTCGTGAAAGGAGCCCTAGAAAAACATAAACATGAAACTATAAATGTGAAACAGCAATGATAAAATAAATAATCTCGAGGACATAATTGAATAACCTCGTGTATTCCTATGTCGCACGAATGCCTCATCTTCCGTGAAACAAGTACTGAATGCTGTACAGACTTACTCCAGAGGTAGTGTATGCCTTTGACGAATTAAATGAGTGAGTGAGTTGGTTTTACGCCGCTTTTAGCAATATTCCAGCAATATCACGTCGGGGGACACAAGAAAGGAGCTTAACAAATTGTGCCCACGTGGGAATCGAACCCGGGTCTTCAGTGTGACGAACGAACGCCTTAAACCACTAGGCTACGAATTAAATGTAACAAATAGGCTCACTTCGTCCCTTCCACCCACATCAAGTTGGTTGGTTGTTGCATAACGCCGCACTCAGCAATATTCCAGCTATATGGCGGCGGTCTGTAAATAATCGAGTCTGGACCGGACAATCCAGTGATCAACAGCATGAACATCAATCCACGCAATTGGGATACGATGACATGTGTCAACCAAGTCAGCGAGCCTGACCACCCGATCCCGTTAGTCGCCTCTTACAAGCGTGGGTTGCTGAAGACCAATTATTGTAACCCGGATCTGCGCGGGTTCCCACGTCAACATACACTGAGATAACGCACATTGTTATTGTTGTGAGTGACTCACTGATTTCAATGTCGTCTTCGGCTACATGGTTTATTTTACGGCAACTAAATTCCTTTCCCTTACCTGGAAATTGTTACTCGGAATTATCCTTTAAGAAAAGAACTTTATGTCTTGAAATATATTATTTTACCAAAACTCTATCATTATAAGAGTTCAGAGTTTGAAAAACAAACTAACCTCCTTCTTTGTCTGGGCATTTAGATCTTGATACGACCCTGTATATAGATCTCGGCGTACTGTCGCATGCACGTTCCTTAAGTCTGCACTCCGAGTCGTATGTAGTTGGGCTTCCATTAGCAATAGCACCGCAAACTGGGTTAATTTCGCTTCCGCATTGGAGAAATTCACATTTGTCGGGAACCACAGTAGTAGGTGCCGCTGTAAAAGTAGATTTCAATTTTGTTAAGAGAAACAAGACAAGGATGTAAGTATATTTTATTTACATGCATGTTTGCAGTTGCAAAGAATTATCCTTAATGTCATTAGGGGTGATACAGAGAATGAAACACAGTTACACGGGACGGAAACTTTACTTGTGAATTTAATTCTTACGTTTATCCCATTCCTGAGTGAAAGAATCCTTTGTTTCAGAAATATATATGTTTCCTTAATATCAACGTAAATATACACAGGATATTTGGAATTTATTTTGTAAGCTTTTTTTTTTACATGCTTCTTTTTAAGACTTAGCATTGTGTAGATTATATATCGATAATCTTTGACAGTCCGGAAACTAAGTCGTCTTCATTTACCAAAAGTATTGCGTTATATTGATTGATTGATTGATTGATTGATTGTTGTTGTGGTTTGACGCCGCTCTCAAAAATGTTCCAAAAATATTTGGTCAGCGGTCTGTGAATAATCGAGTTTGGATGAGACAATCCAGTGATCAACAGCATGAGCATCGATCTACGCAACTGAGATACGATGACATGTGTCAATTATGTCAGCGAGCATGATCACCCGATCCCGTTAGTCGCCTCTTACGACAACCATGGGTTACTGAAGACCAATTCTTACCTGGGCTACAGATGATTACCACAGAGTCTCTAACTACACAAGGAACGGTACCACCTGAATAAATATACATAAAATTACATTACTCACCTGTTGGTTTGGGTGTACAGCCAGGCTTTTTGCAGCTGATGAAAGAGACACGTTCACTCTCGGGTGGTACAATATCTGGTGCCCCTGGGTTCAAAGTATAGTCTCGTTCACGGGTCCGTTTGCCGGGCGTGTCGCAATCAGGTGCATCGCATGGTTCGTAGGCTCCCCACGGGCCCCAGTCAAATGGACCTGATCGAAAGAACAACAGCATTTACATTAGTATTTAGTTTTCTATAATAGCCAACTTGTCAATACCCGAACTTGATTTATACGATGTTATACTGTGGGTTTTATGCAACATACGGTAATATTTCAGCCGTGTGGCAACTGCAGTATCAAATCTAAATTTTAATTCTATTTTTTTAACTAATATTCCGTGAAACATATACTCAGATGCTGTACACACTGCACTCCAGAGACGAACTATATAAATGGAATAAGTAGGCTTACTTAGGGCTTGACACCCACAGCAGGAGCGGATACAACTTTTTGAGAAGGGGGGTGCACAGTTCATTTTCACCTGACACCAATTAGGTCCGGCCATGATTTAATGTGTGTGTGTGTGTGTGTGTGTGTGTGTGTGTGTGTGTGTGTGTGTGTGTGTGTGTGTGTGTGTGTGTGTGTGTGTGTGTGTGTGTGTGTGTGTGTGTGTGTGTGTGTGTGTGAGAGATTCAGGAGAGATTCAGGCTATATGCCCACCAACTTACTGGTTGGATCTGGTGAAGTTGGTGGTGGTGTAGTGGTTGGACATTCCCCACGGGTGTACGCTGGCAACTCCTGGGGCGGGCTGTTGTTGTTTCCTCTACATTCTGCTTGTTTGAAGGCACACAAGTTCGGGAATTTCACGTTGTTTTCACTGCATACGGGAGCTTTAAACAATCAAAATGAAAAGAGTGATTTCAGACAATCGCTACAAGAGAAGCAGTTCAGTTGCTGGTTACAAATATCGGAAGTCTTTTGACAACCAGACAGTAAATATGTTGATTATAACAGTCTGAAGTTTTCTGTAAACAGCCAGTCAAGATGTTGGTTACAAATATCGGAAGTCTTTTGACAACCAGACAGTAAATATGTTGATTATAACAGTCTGAAGTTTTCTGTAAACAGCCAGTCAAGATGTTGGTTACAAATATCGGAAGTCTTTTGACAACCAGACAGTAAATATGTTGATTATAACAGTCTGAAGTTTTCTGTAAACAGCCAGTCAAGATGTTGGTTACAAATATCGGAAGTCTTTTGACAACCAGACAGTAAATATGTTGATTATAACAGTCTGAAGTTTTCTGTAAACAGCCAGTCAAGATGTTGGTTTTCTGTACAAATATCGGAAGTATCGGAAGTCTTTTTGACAACCAGACAGTAAATATGTTGATTATAACAGTCTGAAGTTTTCTGTAAACAGCCAGTCAAGATGTTGGTTACAAATATCGGAAGTCTTTTGACAACCAGACAGTAAATATGTTGATTATAACAGTCTGAAGTTTTCTGTAAACAGCCAGTCAAGATGTTGGTTACAAATATCGGAAGTCTTTTGACAACCAGACAGTAAATATGTTGATTATAACAGTCTGAAGTTTTCTGTAAACAGCCAGTCAAGATGTTGGTTACAAATATCGGAAGTCTTTTGACAACCAGACAGTAAATATGTTGATTATAACAGTCTGAAGTTTTCTGTAAACAGCCAGTCAAGATGTTGGTTACAAATATCGGAAGTCTTTTGACAAAATATGTTGATTACAACCAGACAGTAAATATGTTGATTATAACAGTCTGAAGTTTTCTGTAAACAGCCAGTCAAGATGTTGGTTACAAATATCGGAAGTCTTTTGACAACCAGACAGTAAATATTTTTATTGCAAATGTCATACGTGTCAGAAGTGTTTTGACAACCAGGCAGAAAATATGGTGAGTACAAGTGTCTGAAGTGTTCTAACAACCAACCAGTCAAGATGTTGGTTACAACTGTCTGAGGAATTTATGCACGGTACCAGATATACCATACATGTTGGCTGCAACTTTGTTTTCACAACAAACCAGTCACGATATTACAAAGTTTGTACAACGAACCAGCTAGACGTTGGCGAGACAGTAAGTATGGCTTTACGCCGCTTTTAGCAATACTCCAGCAATATCACAGCGGGGAACACCAGAATTGAACCTCATACATTATACCCATGTGGGGAATCGAACCCAGGTCTTCGTCGTGACAAGCGAACGCTTTACCAACTAAGCTACCCCACCGCCTAGTTAGGCGTTCTAGGAGACGTATTTATAGCTGGTTCTGAATATAACCCAAGCACTTAGTTACAGGAGAATATACGCACCAATCGTTTTGTCATTCTCATCAGAAAGATTACACACGACGGTGTCCCGACATGGATCTGGTGGTTGCGTAGTCGTATCGGCTGCAGGTGTTGTAGTTGGCAACGCTGAAAAAGTTGATGTTATGTCAGTGTAGGTTGTTAACGGTATAAAGTTAAGCTAGAACACTAGTCGTTTGATTCAGTATTGATTCCTTGGATTTAACCAATTTTGAACGCTTGAGACACTTCGTTTTACAAGGTGACCTTAGCGCAACAATGGCCACAAGTCTACCTTAAAAGGATTGGAGTTCCGCAGGAACTTTGTGAGCAAATTATGTCAACAATATTTCAGTTCGAGGGCGGCATCTCAGGGCAATGTGGAAAGATTGCAGAGTGTACGGATTACAATCTTTACCTGGCCAAACGAAGAACACTAATCATAACCAATGTCTAGAATTCAAACGATCGATGAAAGTATTTTGGTACACTCGAGTTAGGCAACTACGCAAACTCTAGTGCGGGAGGTATGAGCACTTGGCAACAACCACTGACTATAAGCCATGCATGTTTCATCACTAACTGGCGAAGACGGGAATTCTTATACATACATCTGTGTTCATACACACGGACACACAGATGACGTACGTGCATACGGACACACAGATGACGTACGTGCATACGGACACACAGATGACGTACGCGCATACGGACACACAGATTACGTACGTGCATGGACACAACAGCATGTGATTATTTCTTACCTCCAGGGGTTGTCGTGGTAACTGTCTCTACTGGGGTTGTGCATGGTCTGTATTTGTAGTCATCCACCTTGAATGGCAGGTTCTTGATGCATCGATAAATGAACGCCGTGTGGAAACTGTCATAAGACGTCTCCTCGCCATTATCCACATAACAACCAGCATCTGCATTTCCGTTGGGAGCGACAGAACATTGTGCCAGTACGCAAGTGCAGCATTTGTTTGGGGGGTTCGATTTATCAATGGCTGAAAGAAAGTGGTATGTATCCATTTAGTGTTTCTACCATCAGGGGAAAGATGAATATTATTAATCTTAACACCCCACAACACACTCAGTGTTTCTACCATCAGGGGATAGCTAGACAATCGTAACACGTCAGTGTTTCTACCATCAGGGTATAGCTAGACAATCGTAACACCTCAGTGTTTCTACCATCAGGGTATAGCTAGACAATCGTAACACCTCAGTGTTTCTACCATCAGGGTACAGCTAGACAATCGTAACACGTCAGTGTTTCTACCACCAGTGTACAGCTAGACAATCGTAACACCTCAGTGTTTCTACCATCAGGGGAAAGCTAGACAACCTTTACACGTTACTACACTCAGTGCTTCTCCAATCAGGGGGAAGTTGGACAACCTTAATCTTCTATGATACGGGAACGGATACACATTCTGATATTGGCACTACTAACCTTCACATTTATCGCCATTCTTCTGGAATCCTTCACAACACTTGCAGTAGTAAGAGCCTTCTCCTTCGTAGCATATGGAGTTTTCTGGACACGGGTTGTTCTCGCATTCCTTGATATCTGAACACAAGGATAAATAAGATCATGAAAAATATCTCTCGCCATCGCAAGGTCATTTGAAGAATGTGTCATTAAAGAGACATTATAGCTCCTACCTTTTGCAGACAGTCCAGTGATTAACAGCATGAGCATCGATCTACACAGTTGGGATACGATGACATGTGTCAACCAAGTCAGCGGGCCTGACCACCCGATCCCGTTAGTCGCCTTTTACGACAAGCATAGGTTGCTAAAGACCAGTTCTAACCCGAGTCTTCACGGTCCTATAACTAGGACCAACCCTGGCCCACGTACCTTTGCATGTAGTGTTTGACTCTCTGGTGAATCCCGTCTTGCAATCGCATTGATAGCTTCCAGGCAGATTAAAGCATTTCGTTCCTGGACCGCACTCATTGCTGTTGGCACATTCGTCGATATCTGCGTAGACAATGTTCATCAAATATATAATACATGAACAAGCTCATCCTGTATCCATGAATTGATTCATTCACAGCACTGTGTTAATATATCGATATAACCTAGTACTTACACATTACCTAGTAATATGAACACTTCCTATTTAATGTGTCGGTGTGGTGGTGTGTGGTCCTGCGCATAGAGCTCAGGTCACAAATCAGTTGAACGCGGAGAGTCCTAGGATGGGTGACCGTGTTTGGCAGCTTGACTCCTGAGAGTTTCAAAGACTTCAGTCCTGCTCCACAACGAAGCACATGTGATACGTGTGGTCTCAAGGCAAGTCAGTTTGTTCAACATTATCTCTGTTCACCCAGTATAAAATGGGTACCCGGTGAGATAAATCACGTGACTATTAACCTTCTAGCGCCTCACAGGCCGTTTGTGACTATAGCGTCCAGATTCCAGTCAGATGGACACTAGGCGCTACATAAATGAATTATTATTGTTATCATTATTAATGTTACTTCATATGAGACCGCCTCCGTGGTGTAGTGGTTAGAGCGTCCGCCCAAAGAGCGGAAGATCGCAGGTTTGATCCCCGGTCGCGTCATACCAAAAGACGTTAAAATATGGTACTTGTTGGTCCCTGCCTGGCGCTCGGCATTAATGGGTACATCAAAGACTGGTCGGCTCGGAGTCAGTATAATGTGTCTGAGTGGGGTATTCGTGCTTAACTGCGGCATGGTATCTCAGTGAGCTAGCACTATAAAACCAGCTTCAGTCTGGGCTAGTACAAGCAGCAGTACACATACACACGCATGCACGTCGTCATATGAGCGAAATATTCTTACGTGCGACGTTAAACCCCATTTCACCTCACCTACTTCCTATGAAAGGTATCTATATAAGACATGATGAATGCAGCCTGGCATATATACTTTTATAGGAGGTCGAAGTATACTTTTCCACATACTTACCAAGAAATGGAATGTCCGAAAGCGAGTGAGTATGGTTTTACGCCGCTTTTAGCAATATTCCAGCAATATCACGGCGAGGGACACCAGAAATTGGCTTCACACATTGTACCCATGTGGGGAATCGATTCGGGTCTTCCGCGTGACAAGCCAACACTTCAACCACTAGGCAAGCTCATCGCCCCGAAAGCTTTAAGAAAATCTAACCCCGTTTAAGAACGTTAGATTGTGGCGCACTCTTTTTTGCTTTTTCGTTATCATTAATTAACGCTATTTTTCTCGTAAGTGCTAAATCCCCTCATAAGACCTCACAGTCCCATAACCGACCCATAACAACCGCTCTATAGCTAGAGCTGAATTCGTTTGCACTGTGAAACATACCAACACACGTCTCGCAAGTAGAAGCGTATCCCATCTTGCACTCGCACGTCAACCTGTTGATGCCGGCGACGGAGTCATAGCTCTCGACGCATCTCTTCTCGGGATAGTCGATCTCTACAAGACAATATAAGGAACATTTCTCTGAAAATCTGGTTAAGTTATTATTTGTCGCCATCGTTATATTTTATTGTCTGCAGTATAACAACTCAGTAATAGTTCGGCTACGTTACTAGTTCCTTGCTGGCAGCAGGATAATCGAATATTTCAACTTAAAGATAGCTCATGGTGTTATCGATGATTTCAGTGATCCATGGAAAAAACTATTGATCTCTACTGAATAGAATCAGATAGACAACCGAGAGTGACTGTTCCCCGTCGTCCTCGTTATTATTCTATAATGCACCTGTGTAATATGCGATGCATTCGTGGTTAATTGCATAATTGTCTGTGTAAAACATGTGTCTTTGTAAGAATGTAGAAAATATGATCCCGAAAACCTTTTTTCAAACAATGCTTTCCCATTTTCTCTTTTTCAAAAGTATCAGTTGTAATAAACAATAATATTCATCTAGTAGAGAGTTTTTAAAGTCACTTTAGTGTGTACAATGGACCAATGACGCTTACAATATTTTACACCGAGACATTCAAGGGAAAATTAGAACCATGGTGATCGTAGCATAAGCAATTATGCTGGTACGAAATTGTACAGCTCGGATAAAATACATGTATCCTAACCATCACTTTTACACAAACAGTACCTAGCAAAAGAAAGTTTACACCAAGACTGAGTGTGGCTAAAAACGAAACAAGCAAATGCTGGAATCGCTGACACATCAGTATGGTACTGTGAATATTCAATCGTGCTTATTCGGTTGGGTCCGCAATGGCCGACTGATATTAAGAAATGACTATAAACCCATTTCCATTGCCACCATATATTTGGGATTACACATTCTAAGTCAAGTACTGAGTCTAGTACTTTTGTTGGGTTGAGTATTCCCCAGGATTAGATTCTTCACTTTAGTAAAAAGTGTAATCCCAAATATAGCATAACTTACATTTGACCACGTTTTAAGAAGCTGTGCCAATTTACACTTGTCAGAGGGGTACACAAAGTCCGCAGACTACCAGTTGCCCGACTTCCATTTTTGTGGAAGCCGCGGTGGCTGAGCGGTTTAGGCCGCTGACTTTGTGTGTTGGCGATTAGGTGCACTCAACTTAACAAAAGTTCTAGAATCTGTACTTTACTAAGAAAGTGCAACCCCAAATATAACATAAGTTAAGAATGATCCTCTAGTTCACGCAGCTCTTCGTCTTGTTAGGTCTCAGCAACAATTCTAGAATAACCTAGTCCGGGCCAGAAAATCCAGTGATTGACAACAATGAGGTTCAAAGTACGCAGTTAGGATACGACGACATACATCAACAATGCCAACGAGCCTGCAAGCATTGGTTGATGAAGACCAATTCTAATCCGGGTGTTCACGTAATACGCATCTGAGGAAAACAGAGGTTCATCCTGCGCTATATATTATGATTAAGGGATACCTAATACCTATTTTTCAAAAATGATTTTTTTCAAAATGTACTTCTACTACGAACATGTGATATATCATGCTTCAATACTTGTAGGCGGGTTGCCTGTCACCTAAAAATAATGTCAGTCTATATAGGGTTTTTGCATACCTTTTTCGCATAGTTCAACACCATTGCCCATGAAGCCCTCTTCGCAAACGCACTTGCCATCTTTGCACTCGGCGTTTTCAACACACGATTTGTTTGCAGGTACAATAGTATTAAATGCTGAGCATAACTGTGTTCCAGTGCATGTGTCCTTGTCCTCGTAGTATTCCCCGATCTGCGGAAAGTGTAATATGATCATTTGGTTATAAGCGATTCTGATATTTGCAGACTGAAAACGGAAACTGACATTTGCTTTTATCAGTTGGCAAAACCCCAAAGGGAACAAATATGTCTATCGAGTGTGTGAGTGAGTTTAGTTTTATGCCGCTTTTAGCAATATTCCAGCAATATCATGACGGGGGACATCAGAAACAGTTTGAACAATTATTTAATAGATTGTTCAACATAGTGAGGCTATAAGTAACAAGGCGACAAAAACTTCCGAAATATTGAACCACAATACTCTGTACCTCTCTTGACTTATGAAAAAATATTTTTATGAAACTTCGACTTCCATTTGGTCCAAATATTATATGACAGTTTAAAGAAATTAATGCAGAAATTTCTTGGGAAAAGAAAATCTTCTACGATAAAAATTCAGAAAGAAGAGAGTTGAAAAGTTTGGATAATTTTCTGAAAGTTCCTAGGAGGGTGCTTGTTCGAAGGTCAATTAAATTTATACATATCTTGTTCAATGTATTAAAATTAGTAACACATTACAAAAAGCTAAGACAAGTCATGAAACAATTTAACCTTTACATTCTTTAGAAATTACCTCTAGATACTGTGTCCCGTATCTGCAGCCGCATTCAGCGACGGGAACACAGTCCATACCGCTAGGACCGGCGGACGGTTTAAGTACATAACCGGGAATGCACACACACATGACGTCAAGATTATTTGCGCCGACACTTTCGTCAGAGCGGAAGGGATATGAACACGTCCTAGGCAGAGGGGGGGATGCGTATCGGCGCCTCCATTTGGCAGACTTGCACGCTGGTATCGCCGGTGAGTCGTCTACAATGGTAGATTACGTAAAAAATACACAACTGTTAACAGACAAGGTACAACTGGTCCACTGAAATTACAAAATATTACAAAAATAGGACACATGTTATCGGACATATTCAGATGGTTTTCAAAATCTATTTTTCGTTTCAAAATTGTACAATTTTAGGAGCTTCAAAAAGGTAACAATTTCTAAAGTGATCACAAAAAATCTCCAGGTTCAAAAAGTATGAACAAGTTCGTGATGAAAGTTGGACACTAGGTATGTTTGGAAATCAGTATTATATGTTAAAAACATGCTCCTATAAAGCCAATTACATATTTTCTTGATAGATCTATATCTCACATACACATTGAGCTGCTGCAAGTCCAATATAGGCATCCGTTGAATTGAACTAAACCTCACTCGTATGTACATAATATTATGTTATAACATTGTAACAATTCCTTGTTCTAGTAGCGTACCTAAGGATAATAATTCCTTATACAAAAATCTGCTTTTATCCGTCAAAAAGTACAAACTAAAGTTTGTTTTTACAGAAACATTCTTTCCCTGTCAAGCCAACATAATATTTAAACGGTTGAAATAGCGTTCCTCCGTATCGAACTGAATAATTCCAGAACGCAACATTCAGCAATGTTTCAGCATTCAAGTTATAGCAATAGAAGCGACAAACCCTTTCCACATTGATAAAGAATCTCTGCCAAAAGCATAGTCGATTGTACAATTGTGACAATATCATGAGCATATTTGTTTCAGAAGCATTAGCAAAGCATCTTTAAAAAACGGTTATGCTAGTGACTTATTGAAAAACTGATCAGCAACTTTTGTCTGTTGTTCTAAGCCACACTCAGCGATCCTGAACTATTCTGTTCACTTATCCTGACTGGAAAATATCAGTTGCGTAATATTATTTGTGTGTTGTTTAACGCCTCACTCAGCAATATTCCATCTATATGGCGGCGGTGTGTTAATAATCAATTCTGGACCAGACAATCCATTGATCAACACCATGAGCATCGATCTACGCAATTGTGATGCGATGACATGTGTCAGCCAAGTCAGCGAGGCTGACCACCCGATCCCGTTAGTCTCTTACGAGAAGCATGGGCTGCTGAAAACCAGTTCTTACCCGGATCCCAAGGGGTTTGTGTAACATTAAAGGGTTAAGGGGTTTGTGTAACATTAAAGGGTCTAGCCTTTGATAATTTTGCCGTGTATATTGTCATAGATGATTACATACCACAATCTGTCAACCGCCTCATCTTTCTAACTGCTCTTCTTGCTGCGGAAATGGAAGCACATATTTCTTGATTCTTATCGTAGGCCACTTGAAGTAACCGAATCGCGTCGGTTACGAAGCTGCAGACGTCTTCACTCCCGCATGTTTCTTTGATGCAACGGTCAACAACCGCCTGTGCTCCTTCGCAGTTTTTGAGAGCTTCACCGATCTCACCACATTTCGGTTTCGGATTTGCACACTCTGGAGTCTCTGTTGGCGACCCTAAAAAATAGATTTTATTTTGCATTGGTAAATTTGCGTGTGTAAAGCCCGCAGATTTCCTAAATCCGTTTCAGCTTCCGGCATTCGACGAACACTGTATAGAAAATCAGAAAAAAATATTAAAAAATATAAATAAAATCCGCCCTACATACCCATTTTAAAAAAAGTAGTGATGAGAAACAAGAAATCTAGTTTATGTGGCCTTATCAGCGTAATCGTGAAAAGTCCATTTTGTAATACATAATTTGTGTTCTTCGTAACGTAATAACGGGCAATAAACTTTCAGATAAGGAGAACTTCAGACATGTCCGAAATGAATTAGTAATACAAATTTCCTTTGTCTTTCATCATTTCAGATGTACTCGAAAGAAAAGAAATATGCTAAAACCGTCTTTGAGAAAGGTATGGGTGTGTATTAGTTTTTCCATAATGCTCACCTGTCGTTTCACCAGGTACAGGTGTCGTTGGTACAGGTGTACTTGGAGCCGCCATTGTAGTCACAGTTTCGGGTGTAGTTATGACCACTGGTGTTCCAAATGTTGCTATCGTAGTTTCTGTTTCCTGTCCCGGGGGGAGGGAGGCAACTGGAACAAACATGCAACGTAAAACCCTAGTCAAATACTCCGTGGTGTAGTGGTTAGAGCGTCCGCCCGGAGTGCGGAAGGTCGCGGGTTCGATCCCCGACTGCGTCATACCAAAAGACGTTAAAATATGGTACTTGTTGGTCCCTGCCTGGCGCTCGGCATTAATGGGTACAACAAGGACTGGTCGGCTCGGAGTCAGTATAATGTGTCTGAGTGGGGTATTCATGCTTCACTGCGGCATGGTATCTCAGTGGGCTAGCACTATAAAACCAGCTTCAGTCTGGGCTAGTACAAGCAGCCGCACATACACCTACACACGCATGCACGTCCTCATATGAGCGAAATATTCTCAAGCACGACGTTAAACCCAATTCCACCACCACCACCACCTAGTCAAATAAGAGGCGGTGGGGTAGCCTAATGACACGTCACACTGAATACCCGGGTTCGATTCCCCGCGTGAGTACAATATTTGACACCTTTTCTGGTGTCCACCACCATGATGTTGTTGAATTATTGCTAAAGGCGGCATAAAAGGCATTCTCACTCACTCCTAGGCAAAGGTAACTCACGTAAATGTATTGTCCAGCTACCATAACACTTCATTATTACCCTACCTAACCTCAAATATTGCATTAAAATATTGCATTAAATGGCGCGTCTATTAATATTCATGGATTCGCGCTCGTGAAGGTGATACCCTGGGTACCGATCCACAAAGCGTTCGTAACGTAACAAACTGCTGTAACGTTATCAGCACAATAGGCCACAAATACGAGAGGAGGAACACGTTTTTCATAGGCTTACGAATGTCGTGGCTTTACGAACGTCACGGACCAGGGCCTAGAATTTCGAAGCTCTCTCAGCGCTAAGATAGTCGTAAGTTAATGTTAATGTATGGCACTTACGACTATCTCAGCGCTAAGAGAGCTTCGAAAATCTAGGCACAGGACCCTTATTCTCGAAACGTTCATAGCCCTAAGAATTCTTAACTTTGATCGTAGCCAGTAGCCAGTGTGTTAAGAATGGGCTTAAGAATTTTGTAGGGCTATGGAGGTTTCGAGAATAGCTAGCCTGTGCCCTTGCTCTCGAAACGTTCGTAGCCCTAAGGATTCTTAACTTTGATCGTAGCCAGTGTGTTAAGAGTGGGCTTAAGAAGTAGGAGTAGGGCTACGAACGTTTCGAGAGTAGCTAGCCTGTGTCGTAACAATATAGTTTATCATAGGCTTACGAATGTCGCTGCGCTATGTTCAGAACCCAGATCTCAGATCAGTTTTATTGTAAAAAGCGTCTCAGACACCAGCTTGACAAGGATAAACGAGTTGAAAATGAAACATACAACTTTATGGATGACAACGTCTTGTTTATAGATAGAGCGACGTTTCGGTGTAGATTCTTACACCATTATCAAGCTGAAAGTGACTACGACCAAATGATGCGAAGTTTATATACATGGTATGTTTCGACAAACAACAGATTAACATTAACAACAACATGTAATTGAATAACAACTGGTGGTACATAATTGGAAGAGGCCAGTTGGGGACAAGGAACAACAAATAGCACTGAAGCCAATAAACAAGAGGGATTAAGAAGTTACAAGAAGCTGATAAGATGCTTTGATAGAGTCTGTAGTTTGATTAATTCTTCATAGACCGATAGTATGTAGCATCCTACCATATTCGTCAGTGTCGTCATTATTTTTAACGTTTATTTGTCTCACCTTAAGCAAGTGAGTTTGTTCAAAATTTCCTCTGTTCACCCAGCAGAAAATGGGTTCGGGTAAGTCACGTGGCTATAACCTTCTAGCGCCTAACAGGCAGCTTGGCTTATCCGGGGTAATAGTGTGTGATGCGCTTTGAGCATACCTTCATGGCGTGGAGACAGCGAAATATAAAAGCCATTATTAATATGTAATGTCAATTAATATTTAAGTTTACAGTTTCACACGACAAAGACAACATATATCATTCCTTGCCCCCTTCTCATAACATGGCATTCCTGTGACGCTTAAGTGAAAAGAGTCGAAGTAAAATACCTGGAACCGGGAAGGCTGTTTCTCTCGAAGAATTGTTTGATATTCGCCTCTGTGCTGATGTCATTACTACCGACTGTGCAAATACCACACGATGGGCTGTAGTAGTCGGTTGCCAAACACTCCGCATATGTTAATCCAAAATTGAATACAAACTGGCATCTGATATTTTTGTCAGAGGTTTGGAAATGATAAGATGGAGGACTTGAACCAACTACTTCCAGCGAGTATGAGTCTTCACTGATCGAACCATCTTGGACAAGACCGCCATTAAGCTGAAATTAAAATTGGTATCAATCAATGGGCATACAATTAGTGAATAGCATACAACATACATAGCGAGTGTTCGCCAAGTGCGTTTATGTTTGGTTAATTCTGTACTCCAGCACAGCATGAGTATTTGAGTATTGAGTATTTGGGAATTACTAATAATATATCAGTGTTACCTCTGATTAAGAACTGAGTTTAATAAAAAAAAGTTCAGTTCAGTTACAAAAAAAGTTTGTTCAGCTTGACCTGAGCTACTCTACATATGCGTGAACCGGGAGGTCAAATGGCACAAACGGCAGGTCGAGTTAACTTCATTAAATAGGTGAGAAGAGAATGTTATTAATGTTGCGTTCGTGCGAAACATGCATACATGGATTCGTTACCGAACTTGTCCCGGAAAACAACACTTCATGTTTCATGTTTTAATTAAATTATTTATACTGTCATATGCTATCTAGTTTGGTTTACTAACTTTACAAGGTACAGATGTTACTTTCACAATCCCACTCACTCTCGCTGTCACTCTTTACACCCAGTTCAATTATTACGTTTTCTGTTTCATGAATCGGAAACATTAAACCATCTGTAGCTTCCTTTTTAAAAAAGTTTGGACATTGTTGCTCGATCGCGACACTGAGATGTCAAACGGCGACCTTGTCTCGGCTGTTCGGACATGTTGACAATTAACTGACAAAGGTGCACCCGTTCACAATAATAGACCCAACCAGTTGTGACACGGTCACACGGTCACAACCAGTTGTGACACGGTCACGCAAGGCATTAGTATTCACTTGATCAGGTCAAGCTGAACATGTAGTTAAACGCGCCTTACCCTCACAACCCCATCACCATTGATTCTGATTGTGTTGCTTCCAACTTTTATTTTTAGCGATACCCGTCTACGGTTAGACGCGCTGATGCTAACATCGGTTCTTCCCTCTTTGTCCTCGTCATTATCGCAGTCGACAGTTGATATGATATTCACATCGCAGTTTCTTTCAAGCAACAGCGGATTTTCTGGACTGTCAAAGGGAAGAACCCCAATCACACCTGGAGCCTCCTTTCCCATGCGGCATACTTTCACTTCTGGAAGATACAGGAAAAGAGAACGTTAGGATAGTGTATCTACTTATTGTGTATCTCATTTTGAGACGCCCTCCTTCAAGTTTCGCGAGACTTTTCTGAATGTCGCGAGACCCGTATTAAGAATAAAACTGCAGAGAATTCACTTCCGATTTCTTTCCATAGAAAACATTTACATGTCAGTTGTGACATTTAAAAAATACTGACTTCAATACTTTTGGGGTCTAAAGAGGTAAAACCACTGTGCAAGCTCCGTGTCACAAATTACGCAAATTACGCACAGCTTTTTTAACGTGTATACGTCCAAAAAGGAATATACATTGAAGAACGTTAGTAGAGAAAAAAACGTTAAAAATAATGACGTCACTGACGGTTTATTGAATCACTAACTAACACAAAAATAAATAAAAAATAAAAAAAAGCAGAAGACGATACCAAATTGGCGACATTCTATATATCAGCCAATTAGGAAAGGAAATCCCGTGAGATGGCGAGACCTATGCAGCATGTTACTTAAACTGCTTGGTCACATAATTCATTGCCCTAGAATCACTTACAATGTATGCAATGCTTGTGCAAATCCTGGCGACTTGAGAAGGGAAAGTAAATTGATACGATTTGTTGACAAGTGATGGCAATGAGCAAATACAACTGTGTACCTTCGCAGGTAGTTCTTCCATTCTTCATAACTTCGGTTTTCTCAGGTGGGCACACGCATTCATAACCAAATTCCGTATCTCTACATTTTTCGTCATCATTGCAGAGATCGATGTCTTTTTCACATTCGTTGATTCCTAAGAATAGAGAAGGAATGAGAATTGTTTACTGATGATTTTATAATCATATTTAGGCAGCGATTCACTGTGCAATTCCGCAATAATTTCGCTTAAGGTGTGCCTGCGGTAGTTTGTATAGAAAGCACGTTCAGAATATTCTGTGAATTCATAGCTTAGACTCAACTGCTAAAAATGGCGACGTCATAATAATGGTTTAATTCCAAACAAAATAACGGTATGATGATCTGTATGAAGCAGGAACTGTCGTAACGTTATCAGCAGAATGGGACACAAATATGAGTGATGAACAAAAAGTATGGCGATAACTTAGTATGGATGCAATCGACAAAGATTATTCATATAAGGTTTCTTAAGAAAGATGAAGTGCCTTTGATTGTAAACAAAGTAGACTTAATAGTATCGAAGGATGTGATAAAATTTATATTTACGTCGACTCAGCAACAAATCACATATCGAGACACAAAAACAGCATTCACTCTGATAGCATGAATTATGAAAGATATAGATTACAATTATAAAAATACATTTTTCTTATATTTATATCCGCTTATTAACAGAAAGAAACATAATTTCGCTTTGTAAATATAACGAATCAGTCATGCAAACTATATAAGACCATCTGCCAAATACCTAAGTTAAGTGATCTGGGACACAGCCCTGTCAAACAATTATCGTAAAAATTTTACAATATTCTCTGACTAGGGCCTTTTATCTTATCAGAAGCACAACGATGACTTACTCTTTGGGCACAACGTGCGCACTTCAAAGTCGTCACATGTTTCATCTGCAGTGCATTGTTCACCCAGGAAGAAGTCTTCAAGATTACATTTGGTCTCGCTGAATTCACTGGAGGCCGTCTGGGAGTCAACTGTCCTGCATTCAATGCCGCGAGGGTTTTCACAAGTTGCGCAACCTTTCACTCGCTGAAATGATCAAGAAAAATAGTAATACCTACGGAGAGTGCTATCCGTGAATATTTAGTGTCGTCACTGATTTTTGTATCACCATTTGCTTCTGTGAGAGGCATTCAGAAGTTGCATCAGAAAGGAAAACAATATACAGTGAGAGCGATGTTATCAAACAAGTTAGAGCCTACACCGAAACGACGCTCTCACTGTAACGAAGAAGTTGCTGGTCCATATGTTGTTATCCTGCCATTTGCATTTGACACCTCTTAAATCTAATATGTGTTGGCGTGTTCACGTCTAGTGTGAGGTCTGTGGTGTATAGATAATGAGTTTATGTGAAATGTTTCCTTTTCAGAATCACTTTTTGATCTTTTGTATTGTGAGCAAAGCACCAAAATTGTCAAGCATGACCCCTATTCTAAAACAGTTACACTGGTTGCCCATAAGAGCTAGAGTGAACTTTAAAGTTTTAACCCTTGTCTACCAGTGCATACTAAGCACTGCTCCAGCCTATCTCAAAGAACTGTTCAAACCATATCTTCCATGCAGACAGCTTCGCTCCAGTGACAAACTTACTTCACATTCAAAACGGTTTTCGTTCCTTTCAAGTGGCGGCCGCGATGAACTGGAATGAGCTACCAGCTCGCCTTAGAACAAGCTCAACAGTCACATGTTTCAAAGCAAACCTAAAGACATACCTTTTCTCTATGTTTTACAAGTGACTCCTAAATTCTATCTTGTCTGCGCTATGAGCATGCTGTCGGTGCGGATTTAGCGCAATACAAATGGACTAATTATTTATTTATTATTATTATCTTTTGTAAGACATTGACATGCAAGGATATGACTGAAATACTGTTCTGAAATGGCTTACTCAATTACCTATCCCTGATCCTTTAATCCGAGATAACTGCAACGTTCAGGTCATTAGGCTTTTATTGTTCATTTTACACATGCCACACATACTTCAATCGGAATAGAATACACTAATCTATCTAGAAACACACACTACATTTTGTCTTTGAAGAAAGCAGGCCAAAAGGATTCTTGGAAGCAAAACACTATTTCTCACAACCTTGACAATGTCCAGTGAACGTTCTGTTATCAAACCAATGTCCCCAAACAGTTTTGAAGTATTTTAGGGAAAAGACATTCCAATTAATACCCAACTTAACCTATCGATAAAACTTCACTTCGTAAAACCGATCTTAAAGCCCTTTCATTTGCAAAGTATCAACAGCGATCAATCATTCACCACGTCTGGCTTGTGCGCTGTTAGTAGTTACGATCGATATTAGTGTCTACGATTGATGTTAGTGTCTACGATTGATGTTAGTGTCTACGATTGATACTAGTATCTACGAATGAAACAAATGTCCGTGTTTGTTTGTATCTACCATTGTAGTTGGATTCTCTTCTTCCTGGTCTCCAGCCTCTGGGGTATCGCTGTTACACCAGTCGGTTTGCTCGAAGTCCTCCTCGGGTTCTGAATAGACATTGCACCGTGACATATGTACACATGGGAAAAAGTATCGCAACATCTATGATCTTTAACCCCTATATAGCCTTTTATATTCATATCATAATTATGTTTGGATGATTATTTTAATCCATAGCAACTTTCAGGAAACTGTAACCATTGCGAATGAGTTAGATTTCCTTGTTGATAAGCAAATATGGAGTCTCCGCTACTGCCATTATTGATCTATGGAATGCTGGCATTTCATTCACAGATGGTGGTTGCCATCCATGTAATATTAATAACTGTATTTTGACTATTCATGTCCATATCCCTTAAATGATATATCCGTGAAGATCCGGGTTAGAATATTGATCTTCAGCAACCCATGCTTGTCGTAAGAGGCGACTAACGTGATCGGGTGGTCAGGCTCGCTGACTTGTTTAACACATGTCATCATGTCCCAATTGCGTAGATCGATACTAATGATGTTAATCGCTGGGGGTTTTCAGACTAGATTCCCTGCTCAAAGCGCACAATCTGATCATTATTATCCCGGATAACCCTATTTCCCTGTATGCTTTTAGATCTTGACAACCAGTGTAAGTGTGGATGTAGTGGTGATCCCCATTGTTTCGGCTCTTGATCACTGGATTGTCTGGTACAGACACGATTATTTACAGACCACTGCCATATAGCTTGA